CTGACTTACTTAAATAACTCACTGCGGGATATAACTATTTGGATTTTTAGAAATTATGGAAATATGTAATTGCTTTTTTTGTTTGATGCATCTATCTACTGTATTCGCTTACCGAACTTTTCATTGTGTTGTTTTTCAGTCTGGTTAAGTTAAAGGTGGAAATGAAGTGTGTAGGGTTCGTAGTTCTAAGTGTTTTAGAAGCAATACAACTGTTCATTATAGTAAAAAGGGTAGTAAGTACTCATGCAAAAAGGTTTGAGGAAAACTGATGATGAAAATTGTCTAGTGAAACTTTTTTTTTTTTTTTTTTTTTTTTTTTTTTTAGAGAACCATATCAAACAAGAAGAAGTCGTGGTGTCGTGAAGCCGAACACCAAGGGAGTTTTTGACAAATCGACGTATGTTGGAGGAATGGAGGTATTTTAAGTTGATTTTTAAAGGAACTCTGTTGTTTTATGTTGTCCTCAAAAAAGAAAGAAAAATCTATTTTGCATAAATTCGTACCTCAGAGCTTTAAAAATGCTGTAAGAATGCTATCGAATCGGCACAAGCAAAGCTAGCACAAAGACTGGACTATCATTATTTGAATTTGCTAGGCACTGTAGAAAAAAGTGGCTTATGATGTGTAACAAGCTTTTAGCGGAGGAGGAACAGGAATCTGAACATAACTTTTAATTGCGAAAAGTTAAAGATGGAATATTCACCTATTACTACCCAATTTCAATGTTTATTTTTTGAAAATCTTAAATTTTCAGGCAACTTCTGCAGAAGGAGATGGTAAGCGTTCAGTTATTTGGGTGAATTCGTTTTCTGTTTATTATCCCTACACTATAATCATTATGTTCGTATAGTCATTGTCATACTTCTCTATTTTATGATCACTGTTCTCTTGTAGAAGCAATGAAATCTGTAGAATCCCGCGAAGCTTATACATTACGTAAGTTTTAATTACACTATCTGGTAAGGTATAGTTTATATAATGATTTGATACTGTTGTAGACGCCTATGACGATATTGAGAGAGAATTCAGTTTGCTGTCAGCGTTTTTATCTTCGAATGATATTAAGCATAGAGTAAGATAAAATATTATACCTCCTAGTAAATACTTTTTACTTTTTTTTTTTTTCTTTTTCTTTTGTTAGATGTGTTCTTTCTCTTTAAAACATAATCTGCATCTTGACAGAGAAGCAAAAGTGAATCAAATACTAGTATGTAATCACGAAAAACAATCGGAAGATAGTGTGTTTTCTACCATTTTTTTATATCTTTGAGGGCGAATACCGTTTAGTGGGCAAAATTCAAAATTGAAACTCGCTGGACGTACTATGCAACTTGATGCGGAATTGGAAGAAGTAACTGGAAAACCGATGACTTTGAGAACTGCAACTGGAAATTTGGTTAGCTTGATTTATTAACCAGATGAACAAGATGTTGGAGATAACGCCTAGAAGGGACTAATAGTTTTCTAATCATTATAATTTTATTTCTTTTAAGCAAGCGAATAAAAGCGAATAAAAGCCAGAAATTTTCAATCGTTTTTATTTGTAAGTATTGAATGTCATTCATCAAACGGTGAAATTTGCTTTTCATGAAATTTATTTTACCCTCTTCATTTCATATCGGCATCTATTCCTATCCACTAATTTTGTTCGTTTCTACCGTTGATATTGCATTTCTATACTAATATTGCTTTACTGTAATTTAAGAATAACTTTTAACGTTTTTTCTCCTAAAGCAATATCCATATGAATATATAGAATTACAAAAATATCGAAACTTCCTCTTCAGTTTACTAAATACAAATAAACGTTGGTGAGCAAGCAACCATTAATGCGTTATTTAGGTCACAGTAATGCGGCGGTTTGATGGCCGTTTGATTATGGTTTCACCCAGAGTATTGGTTCAGAAAGGTAATGTCTCATTTTTGCACGAATCCGGCTTCTTGCCTAACTAGAAAATATTTTTGGATCAAGTATGCGAAGTATGCTAAAGCACATCTTTGTGAATAAGTTTTCTGTTACAACAACAAGTGCTTGGGAAAGTTTGTTTAATTGAAAGATTAAATATATTAAATACTGTAGGGGCTCTTTCTCAAAGGATAGATTTATTTTACTACCAAGCTTATACCATGAAACTTATTTGCTTATATTTATTCTCACATTTTCCATGAAATGATCGCTTTATAATGGATAGAGTTGGATGGTCATTTAATGTATCAATTTCTGAAAGTTTTCTTGCTCATCTTTTGTGTAAAATGTTGTTTTCTAGAATCGAAAACACCCACAATTGAAGAAACTCAAAGAGAAACGAGGTCGAAAAGTACACGAAATGCAGCACTTGGCAAAAAGGTACCAAAGGCAGAACAAATAAAAGAAGAAGAAGAAGAAGAAGAGGGAAAGGAGACGAAGTCACAAAGGACAACAAGATCCTCAGAAAAGCGTTCAGTCTACTCAAAATATTTAAAGAAAGATAAAGATCGACGTGGTAATCTTCAATTTGATCTTCTTTCGTAGGTCTTAGTCATTGTAGAAATTATTATAAAGAACTATTGGAAACTGGAATGGTATGTAGTACCTGATAACAATTTATTTTATTTGGTGTTTCAGATTTGCAACGTACACAGTGACTATTTCAGATGAAAAAAGCGCTAATTCAAACTTATCAGAAAGAGGAAAAGGAAAGGATGTGGATAATGAAAAAACAAGTTTGGAAGAAGCGGAATCTGTCAAACAGGAAACCACGCAAGAAGTAGAGACTAGCTCGAGAAAGTATGTATTAAATAAACGGTCTCGAACTTATTCTTTAATGTTGATAGTTTTACTATTTGATTGCATAAGTCTTCCAAAATAAATTCTTTAGCAGTCATTTACACTGTTATTAATCCAATGGTAATTTTGAAAATCTGTTATAACGTTCAGCACGAAACAAATATTGTCATATTGTAAAGTTTGGTGGAAATTCGTAATCGACAATTTCTTCCTTTTGAGATGTTATTTTTTTTTTACCGATTTCAGATTTGTAAGAAAGCAGTTAAGTGAAAATGATGTAATCGTTATGGACGATGAGACATTCTCAGCTGTTGTAAAAGATATAAGCATGGAAAGTCCTGATTGCGGTGAGTATCTTCTCTACAAAACACTTGCTTATTTTCACTTTCATTTTATCTTTTTGCTTAAATGGTATTACTTCATAATTCGTGATATCTTAATATTATATGAATGTTGTATGCAGAATACCGATGTTCCTATTCATATCTATAAACGTTTCAATTATTGGCTGGACTGAATCATTGAGATTTACCGCAAAAATCTGTAACATAATCGATATATGAATTTAAAACATGTAGTAATGACAACAGATTTTAAATGTGCACTCAAAAAACGTGAGGTGACATTTAATAGAAAAGGCTTGAGATTATGCACTAATTCTTTGTATTTGGTATCATACACTTCGATTTGACAAATATCTGTAGAGTAATTAAAAGGGATTAATGTTTTGGGATTTTTGTTTAAAATTAGAGGATGGTTATTTCTGAATAAGTTAATCCTGGAATTATAATCAGCAGCTGATAAATGGAAAATAGATTAGTGCTCTCTCTTCTGTCTGAATACTCTTTTGAGTCCTATTACTTTGTTATTTAAATGTATGACTGTGGACAATTACTTATAGTTAGTGGAAGTGAAAGCCGGCGAAGTCGATCAAAGAAAAAGGATGATGAAGAACCAACAGGACTGGTTACTAATGCTTTTAGAGCTAATAAAACAGGGGAAAGTAAAAAATAAATTAGTGTCATCGTGTGTTTGAAATTGTATTTCAACATTGGATGACAATCTCGTGTTTTTAATATCTTACTGGCTCTATTTTCATCGTAATATTTTTTTGTTGTCTCTGTTGTATTTATGGTTTTTCTTTCTTCAACTTTTGTATTGATACACAAACTGAATATACAAAGCAAAGTGCGAGGAACTGTGGTAGATGAGTTAATTTCCCAACTTTTGGTAACTTCGTTTGTTAAAGTTTGTTCTAAATTCTAATTAGTACACTAAAAAATACCACTTTCTTCCCTCTCCATTTGCTTTTAGTAGAGAAGTTTTTAAACTATTTCGCTTGCATTTTACTTTGCTTCAGTTTGCCAACTTATGATTGATTTTAGGAACATCTGACATCAGTTTGCAGACTGTTTTGTTCCAAACATTAAATAATGCACCAGTATTCGCAACTGGACGAGACCATATTATTCTGAAGATTAGTGTGTGTTTAGATTTTCAAGTTTACTTTTGTAGAACTTCGAAGATTTGCAAGGATTCCATTGTTTACAACTTCAAAAAATAGTTTTGACGAATAAGTCACCTTTGCAAATGACTTATTCATCTACTACTTGCATTCATTGCATACTCTTATTGTGATCAAATGTTTTTATTGTTCTGAGCTTCTCTACTTTTTTGTGACAAGAAATGGCATTTCTCATTGCTGTATTAGTTAAAATATGGGATAGAAGAAAAGAAGTACATTTTGCCCTTTTTCATTTTATATGTTCGAGATGACCACCAAGTTCGTCAGGCTAATAAGGATTTTCATACATAAGGTTCAGTTTGTAGCCATACATCATTGTCTTCTTTGTTTCCTAGGTTTCTTCTATAATTTCATCGCTCATTGTGTACGAAATTGTAAGTTCAAGAATAAATAATAAAAGGATGCAATGAAAATTTTGTTTCATAATGGCCATGAGGTCTGGCAGTGGAATTCTTACATGTAAAGTTGGCATTTCCTAATAAAGTATGGTGCAGTTATAGAACTACTTTATTTAATAAACGATTAGATGTTTTAATGTTAGTTGTTTAAATTCCATTTGTTTTCTTGAAATCATTATACAATATTGTTAATAAAACAATATCATGAGCACCATTCTTTGAAAGTATTGAGAATGAGAAGAGAAACACAGGATGGATCATGAATATTACCTATTGTATCTGAAGAGGATAATGAAACATTTTTTCCTTTCTAGCAGTGCACAATCTGTTCCACCTCACTTTCTGAACTTGTTTCACAGACCGCGGATGGTATCGATAACGGAGTCTGTAATTAGGCTTTTTGGAAATATTTAGTGAAGATCTATATTTAATCATGAAGAAAATGTAAAAACAACGAAACGGAAGGGACTCTTTCCGAATCGTCTGGTTGCTCGTTCAAATCATTCTTGGCTGGATTGAGATTAAAATATCGATCATTAGGGCAAACAAACAAATAAATGAGTGAATGATTAGTATGCGTGTTAGCAAGATGTTAGATTCGCTAAAATTTTTCCAGAAAATTTAGGAGCTCCTTTCAATTCTATTTACGCTGATAAATTATTCCACGTTAAAAGATGATGAAAATTGGAAATGTTATTTCAACTTCATCCTGAATATTAGGTTATTTCATTAAAGGGAGAGGAAGTTAACCTGTGTTAGAAATCCTCTTGTCAAAAAATATTTAAGCTTACACTTGCTGTCCTACGATGTGTTCGAATTGTATTTTTGACAGCACGAACCTGTCGTTCTTTGTCAGAAAGACCATCGGAATGTATGGCAGCCATTTCTAAACTTCGTTCCAATGATGATTCCATTGTTGAAGAGGAAGTAATAAGCAGACAGCTTGATCTGAAATGAACAAAATGGCAACTCGTGACTGCAAGCATATTTATTTGAAATACAAGTTCGGACACAAATTAGAATTACCAATCAGGTTGTTCAGCTGCTCAGTTTGATGAATTTCCTTGTGCGTATGTTGATAAACTCATCAAATAAAACCATCCCAATTGCATAAAGTACAGACATTAGTCAAAAGTATCTGCCAAGACATTTCACTTAATTAATTTGAGACTGGAAATTTGTTGAAAATTTTTTGGAAAATAGCTAACCTTTCACTATCATTTGTGCTTTGTGGATTTCTAAATTTCCGAAAAATGATATAAGAGGCGCTTGGAGAATCGAGCGATGAGTTTAAAATATTCCTAAAAAATGGTAAGTATTCATCTTTAGCTCATCCATGAATTATATTCCAACGATAAATTTCTAATCTGTGTTAGTTACCCGTTATTTTCATCCTGCTCTTCAGAACTTTCTTCTGCAGAAGCATCGGAAACTTCTTTTTTCAGCTTATCGTCTTGTTCACATGCTTCTTCATTGTCACGTGCAATCTGCTTACCTGATGCCACCAACCTATCTTCTTTCTCTTTCAATTTCTCCTGATAGCAAGTAGCTGATGGCGGAATCTGAAAATGAGAACAGATTTTCATTTCTTCACTTCCATCACACACACAACAACAAAAGATAGCTAAACGTACGGTCACGTTACATTCTTCATCCAAAAATACTTCCGCTTCCCGTGATTTTTTTACGGTCGAGTAGCTGGAAAAAAGATAAATATGAAGAATAGAAATATGAATTGCAAAAATTCCGAACTATATCTATACGACTTCCTACTTTCAGAATTGCGAATAAAATGTGCTCTTTCTTCGGCAAATTTTCTACATTTACTATTAAAAATATTAAAATTGGACAACCTGAGAAAATATGATTTATATTTTCAATAAGATATAATCTCAAACCTGACAGTTATATTTTGTAAATGAACGGGTGGAGAGTCGATTTTTTCAGATGGTGAAGTGTTTCTTGTTGCACCATCACTGATTAGCGTACTTTCTGCTGTAAATTGACGTAATCGCGTATGTGACGAACGTTTCTCTTTTGATACTGGAAAGGATGAAGATCAGTTATTTAAGGAGTTCAAATTTGAAATTAATCTAAGCTTTTTATGCTCAAATTGCTTCCAACTACTAAAGGAAATGTCAGGAAAAGAAAACCTTTGCAATAAAGAAAAAAGGTAGTAACTCCTCCTGGATTTCTTAATGCTCTACTTACCAGGAGTCATCCGTTGCAATAAATCTCGATGGGAATCTATTGTATTCTTTCTATTCTTCCTTCTTTGTGATGTCAAACGTCCATCCGACCAACGTCCCTCCGTATTTCGATAAAATTTCGTTGGGATAATCTGAAAGGAAATGCTTAGAGCAAAGTCCTTGCTGAAATCATCTTTAACTCTACTGATGAAAATCCAAAAAAAAAAAAAAACGTCAAACTAAAAAACAGCTACATTTAACTATTAAAGAAAGTTAGCAAAAGTGCTATTTGAATTGTATTTTGAAGACCTTAAATTTTCACTGACCAATTATTTTCAATAAAAAGAAAAATCACTCACCGGTTGTCCACAGAAACTGCATTCATATACTATTGCATTTGTTGAAGTTCCATATGTAAAGTCAATGTCATATAAATTATGAAAACCAGAGTCACAGGAAGCTTCCGAAATACCGGAATTTCGAGCAGGAGATCCACGAACAAGATCAGCTTGATTGTTGCAAAAGTAACTGGACCGTCTGATCGATAAGTCTTGAGAGAAATTATGTTCTGCAATGGTAACTTGCAGAATCTTACTCTTTTTGCTCACTTAAAAGAATTGAAGTATTTCAATACTTATTCTGCACAAACATTAGTAAAACTTCATAGGCCAATTCATGTTCCAACTGTATCAATACTTGATACCTCCCATGATAATTGGTTATAATCGAGACTCTCTTTTATTATTATTAGCAAAGAATAACCCAATTTGAAATTAAGATAATACATTTTAATTTTTAACTCTATTTGTTGTTTTGTCTTTTTTTTTATCTTTTTTGATCATACCTGAACTTGAAGTTAGCATTCGTCTAGGTGAAGTTTTACTCAACTTTCGATTGTATCCTAATGAACTGCGACCGGAACTTTGTCGACTAAAGATCAGTGATTGAGATGATGGAAAAGCTCCACTCGTCCTGAATTTTTAATTTAATTAATCTCCTACTGTAGGGTGTAAGGTAACCACTCAGTTATTTGTGTCAATTTTACTATTTGCCAGTCACAATATTAGTATTTTAAATATGGTGATAGTAGGCACTTGAAGGAAAATCAAATAAGTTATACTGATGATAAATGACCATGACTTACGTTATGCTACTAGCAGAACACCTTGTTGATGAATTCCGGTATACGTATTCAGAGTGGTAATTGTCTTCCGATGAAGACAAAGACATTTCTTCTTGTTCCTCATATGATAAGCAACAGTTTGAATTACAAGCATTAATGCTGGAATTTTAAGAAAGCTTTCGACAAAATTTTAAGAAAACCTTTTTTTTGCTTGGCTCGTACTTAAAACTAGTAAAAGCTAAGCAAAGAGAAAAAAAAACCATCAATTTTTGGGTAAAATCACTGTGCTTATATGTATATATATGCCTTATAAATTAGTACAAGCCAAGCCAAAAAGATTTTGCAACAGAAATTTCAGATCGGGATAAAACAAACAAGCCGGTAGTAATGCTAGGATTAATTGAAATTACATGATACATTTAAAAGATACAATGTTAGTACCTTTGTTTCATCACACCTGCAGTGTCATTCGGCTCAGGTCGCATACGTATGACTGCATTTTTAAGACTTTTCGGCATACCTTTTGGTGGCAAAACATTTGTTCTAAGGTCTATATTATAAGCATATTTTTCACGTTCACTAAACTTTTTTTCGCGCTCTAACAATTCCTGAAATGAGTAACAACAATAATGAGAGCCTGATTAATAAGATTTTTCTGATTAACAACATTTTTTAAAAAAGTATGAGAAGGAGAATCATACCCGTTCACGCATTGCCAAATCATCCAAACACTGCTCCAACTTCGAATAAATTTTAGTTGCTCGTCTCAACTTGTCTTCGTACATTTCTCGAATATCTTGTGCATGTTTTAACTCTTCACGTCTCATTCGAAGTAATTCACGCTCTGAAAATTTTGGACTTAAAACTTTCAAATATAGAGAAATCCTCTTAATATAGCTGTCTTGGATCTATCGACATCAGCTGAGGTAATGAAGTTATAATAATCGAATTCGATAGAACCTGAAAAATTTAAAAGTTGAAAAAGAAGCGATTTGAAAATTACTTATTTCTTATATAACCCGCAAAAATTATTGCATTACTCGTAAAAGTTTTGGTTTCAGATTTAGTTATCAAAGAGCAGAAACCAGAAAATGATATCTGTACTTGCGTTAAATTTGCTCCGTGAAGCAAAAAAAAGGACATTTTACCATTATTAAGCGCATCTTTCTTCTGTGCCAACGTTTTCTCTTGCCGGATCCCTTTCATGTACTGAATGACGTATGCTTTCCAGCCTGCTTTTTTTTCTAACCATTCGTTATCACAAATGTTTGCAATTTCAGACTGAAATGAAAGTTTCGTTGGAAAGACTTTGAAGGGGAGCTCAAAATTCTGAAAATAAGTTATTAAATTCAAATATATTGATTTTAGCCGCCTTTGATGCTTTTAAGTTTTATGATTTTTTCATAGCTTTTGTTCAGTTATGCTCAGAAACATATTTCTTCTCTCCCTTTATTCTTGAACTTTGACCCTGTCGCTTTACATCTTCCAAAGTACAGTTCAAAAGTTACTTTAAAAACTGCGATATGCTTTAAAATTTGCGAGAAAGAAGGACGATTCTGTGGTTTGATGCTCCAACATTGCTTCAGTAATAATTTCAATCCTTCAGGCGCAGTATCTGGTATTGGTAAGCTCAAATTGCTGAAATAAAGTTCCGATTTAAAAAAATACTCGAAATGTCAAACGTAGATAATGAGTCATCTAGAAACTATTCCGAAACTTACTTTGAGCCAACACCCCAAATAATCGCCATAGAATCAACATCTTTGTATGGAATTTCCTGTGTCAGTAGTTCCCATAATACAACTCCAAAGCTCCAAATATCGACCTGTTTTGCATACTTGGAATTAAAGCGAAAATGGAATGATAAATGCAAACAGTCGACATGGACTATAGGCAAATGGTGTCAAATCATCGTTGTTAAAATTGGTGAAATTTAAAATAAATTTACATTTAAGAATGAAATTCAATTTTCCAAAAATCCAATACTTTTTCAGAGCACGGTTCTTTCTTGATGATCTCAGGTGCCATCCAAGCAGCAGTACCACAAAATGACATCACCATACTTTTTTCCTTATCCCACTGATGTGATGTACCAAAATCGCAAATTTTTAATATGTCACTGTCATCAACCAAAATGCTGCAAGGTGATGCAAAGTTAGCACCGATAGTTAGCTAAAGCAAAAAAGGAAATTTTCTAATGTGTCAACTGTTGTTTACTGTTTAACGGCAATAAACTAATCCGTTACAACTACTCAAAACCATAGTAATCTGACCAGAAATTTAATTCGTTTTACACACACTCACAACTTACTTGGGTGATTTGAGATCACGATGTATGATGCGTTTCTGATGCAAATAATTCATTCCATCAGCAATTTGACGAGCCCATTCGCCAAACGTATCTTTCGCAATATGTTGACCACTTCTAATTACTTCATAAAGTTGTCCTTGACCGCAGTATTCCATTACAATGCAAAAACAGGGTGATTGAGTACAAACGCCTCTAAGAATAGAATGATGACAATTTCCTTCTGTCCTTTTGCAGTATCAAGTATTCATTTTACTATTACTATGACTGAAGTAATGTGATGTTTTATTAAATTTTTAGATGCATACACACGAACTTCCCAGTTAAATCATTACAAAAACTTTTTGATTATAAGCGGTCTATTGTATTTATCTAAATTCCAAGCAAAAAGAAATATTAGGATTTTCAGAATTTAATAAGTCATTGTGACTAATTTGCGAGCGCAAGAAAATTAGATAGAAATGAATGGAAATTACATGAATTTGATGAGATTTTCATGATTAAGATGTTGCAAATGTTTGATTTCCGTTTCCGATCTGTCTTTCACTTTTTTTACTGCCACTAAACGATCATTCAACTGACCACTGAATACAGCTCCCTGAGATCCTGAGCCAAGCCACTCCAAATGAGTAATTGTTTCAAATGGTATTTCCCAATTGTCATTCGAATAAGATATAGTTGACTTAGTCATTCCATTTGACCTAACGTAAGTAACAAATAATTCATGTCAACATTATGACGTTTTTACAAAAAGGGATTACAAATTAGATTACAGTATCAACTAATACACTGAAATGGCAAAATTTTCAGAGAAATGGAAAAAAGTCAGTAAAAGATTGCGGAATGCTTGCAATGACTCGGCGGATAGCCCGAAATAGGTCCACATCGGCTTGAAACATGAAAACAATCCTCGGTACAAGCTATCGATGGTAGATACATTGCTGGATGCCAGGTTCTGAGAACTGTTGTTTTCTCCAGCTGGCGCCTTATCAGGCGTTGATGTCGCTGTGCCTCTAAGTGATGTTTCTGAAATGCCCGAAGATAATAATGGACGACAAGTGGCTGACCGCTGTACAAATAATCCTTTAAATGATAATAGGAAATTTTTTAAGGAATTAATGAGTACATTATTACATGTTCATCACTTATAAGCCTTTTAGATTATGATGATTGCAAATGCCTTCTGGCCATGAAAAGCAGAATGTCCGGTGCATGCTTTACTGTTTTTGGTTAGTTATTTAACAAAGCAAATAATATTGCAAGAAAAAATGATATAAATGAGAAAGTTCAAGCGTCAGATACGCTTTTTTGGAATAACGCTATTAACTTACCGCCGCCGATGACACTATCAGAAATAATACGTGCTGGAAGTGGTGTTGATAGTACACTCTGGCTAACTTTCACTTTATAGTTTCCAAATTTTTCATCAGACATCATTCGAGCTAACTCTGACTTTGCAATCATTGTTTCATAACCTGTAAAAGTGTCTTTAGTTAAAGAGAAAACAAAAAATTTATTCAGATTCAAAGAATTGTATTATTTGTTGATGGCTAGAAAGGAGGAAAAATAGTCCAAAAATGTTTGTTTTCATCCTAAAATTTTGAGCAACTGAAGACATAATTTGTTTTATATGTTAGGATGTAAAACAGAAGTAGTTTTTCAAAGTAATCAAAATAAAGTTCAAATTTTCGATAATGAGAAAAGTTCATTGACCCCAGAATTCAAATTAAAGCATTATAAATATTGAGTCACTTTAAAAATAAATGATAAAAACAGATGAAGCTTCCTCCATTCTCTATCAATTACATCCTCTTATTATCACTATAATCATTATTATTGTAAAGTGTCGTTTTTATCAGATTTTCTAAACCAATTTTTGACACCACGCTGTTTTATACCTATCATCATTATCAGTGTAGAATATGGATGTAATTTAGCATTAATGTTTATGATTTTAATTAACCAAAAGTTATAGCTCAAATCATCTTAGCACTTTTCAGTGAATTACTAAATAAAATATTACGGCAATTAGACGGTAGTAAGAGAAGGAGAAAATGACGAAGAATTGTTCTAAAAGGTAGGAAAGTGAGTGAGGTTAGCATCTGCCTTCTCTTCAGCTCACCTGTCCTATTCCTGACGTTATTACAGCATGATATGAGGAGAGACTGTGGCAATTTCCCCTGACGACTTGTCACCTATTTTCGGTCGCTGCCCTCAACACTAATCTTTGCCCCGTAGATAAATTCATTTCCCGACTAAAGCATCAATTTTTGTTGCTCTAAACAGGTTTCCTGATCCTTTTTTTTTCTCCTTCTTGCTATGCTGACATCTATTCTCATAAGCCGAAGAATCGATACATCCATTCACACACGCACCCACACCCATACGCATATATATGTTTATAAACTGTATGATAAAATTTTATGCGGAAATAAAAAAGCTTACGAATTATTCAATTACTTTAAAAAAATTATGATTAAATTGAAATTTTTTTGCCATTACTAATAATAATTATTTTTTGAAGTTTTCAAGTAAACAATTCACTTTCCTGTTTCTTCAATGTTAACAATCCTAGCTCCATGCAAATTTTTAGTTCAAGATTATTATTACTAAAATTTAAATGAGAAATATTTTAATGAAATTTAAATGATTGAAAAAAAAGGAAAAACCAACCGTGAACAGTGGAATGTACAAGTAAAGTAGGAATGACGACATCTGAACTGCTGATCTCAATTTCTGGACGAAGATACTGAGACTTGGATATATCACGGAGTAAGATAGAATCAGTCTGATCTTCTAGACATAAAAGACTCACTGAACTTTTCGTACTTTTCTTTGTTGTACTGAAATTTAAAAATTTGGTTCATAGGGTATGTAATCATTAAAAAATGAATGATAATAGGTGTATGTTAGTTTAATTTTGAAGATTTGTTTATAATGATAATAGTTTGAAAGATTGCTTAATTTCTGAATGGTGGTGAGATTTTTTTTTTCTAAGAGAATATTAATATTTTGAAAGTGGAAAATTATGATGTGGAAGCAGTGGCAAAGAATTGTAAAGTAATGGCTTGAAACGGTGAACAACTTGTTCCTCAAATTTGCTCCTCAAGGAAGTCGTGATTCCAATCTTGAGCCAAGTGCAACAGCTTCGAACATTTGATTTCATTTAGAATACTTAATATTGTCCTACTGCTTTTTTAAAATCTCTTTCAAGAAAATGTTATATCTCAATCATTCTTACCAGATATTATTAAAAAGTTTGGAGGATCAAAGAATAAATTGAAAAAATTCAATGCTTAATATAATTGGCATATATATATGTACTTGTATATATATATATATATATATATATATATATATATATATGTGTGTGTGACGATCATATAGAAACTATTTATGATTTTTTTTGTGCAGCTAAATAAACAAATATTGTAGAAAATGGAACCGATGATTTAAAAGTGATTTGTTTGAGAGTTAAAATGATTGGGATAGTGATAAGTAGTTGTCGTAAATGGCCTTTAAATGACCTGTTTAACTGATTACAATCAGAAGTTTATAGAGAAATGTGGTATAAAAACTTTGCTAAGAACTTGTCTGGTGATGAATCAAGTACCATAGTTTCGAACAAAATCTTTAAGTTCTGGACGGAGATCTAATTAGTAGAGATATTAGGAATATCTATTTAATTTCCGACATGCCACATGTCAGATATGTTTCAAAATGAATTCTGAAGAATTGTTATAGGAAAGAATTGTGGATGAGGAAAGAAGTACAACAATTATACCGTCGTAATTTCCGTTTGAAGCATATCATTGTAACTTTCAGTTTTTCCGGAATACCATCTGTAACAAGCAATTGTGACCTTCGGAATGGTTTAGCCAATAGTACGGTGAAAATGATATGAACAAACCACATTTCAATTGTCCGTGCGGATAGCAATAATCCATTAAATAATCCACACTCAATAAATTAACAGAGACGATGACCATAATAAACTGTAGTATAGATTTGGTAAAGGATCTATTAGTAACATTTGAAACTAACATGTAAATCTCTCTTTAACTTCAAAGCAGCTAATATTGATGTGTATTTCTTTATCATATCAAGCATTGATAAACAGTGGTATTAATAAGCCCTTCTCTTCTCTTTTATGTCCAGTATGAAGCATTATGCAACTTAAAACATTAAAAAATTTCAGCCCATCTTTTTCAGCAAAACATTCATAGAAATGAAATACATTATAATTTAAAGAGCTATACATGAGCAAATATACCAAAGAACTTTTTCCTCTATTACTTGAACAAAATTTTCTTGTAACAAAAGTTATTGACTGTTCAAAATAATTCAAAATTTAAAATAATGAAAGGAGGAAATCTCGGCAAACGCATCAAATCTTTAAATGACAAAAGAACCCAAAGTTGACCAAAACAAATATTATGAAAAATATACAACAATGAGGTGCTCGTTCAATAGCAACTGCATAAAATGTCAATTTCTATGGTCCTATATTCCACGGATAATATTAGGACTGTTGTGTGTATGTGTGTGTGTCTGTGTGTGTATGTGTATGTGTTAGCACCTTTGCAGATTCATTACTTACCATCTCTATACCCTTTCATTGCTCATCGAAAAATGAATTTCTCATAATGCTGATGTGATGATATGACAAGCTATGATGTCAGCAGCAAAGAAAGGCTTATTTAAAGTTTTTCAAATTGTACCAAACGGTAACATTTATTTGAACATCACAGAATAGATATGAAAGTTCAAAAAGGTTACTGTTTATTATATCTGACTGCCAAATTAGAAATCTGATATCATTTACCTATTGATCTACAAATTTTATTTGAAACTGGTCTTAAAATCTAATTCTATATTAATGTTTTGATTAGGTGAACTATCAAAAGATTTCTTTTTTAATACCATCTTAATATAAGATGTTATGGATATGTCATCACTGTATAAAAAAAGTATCAATCTTTTGAAATGATAAAAAGTCTCCTTCATGATTCAACCTGCGTTACGATGCTCAATTAACCCGTTTTCAAACTTTATCAATATGCTGCAAGTAGATTGAAAGTTTTAATAGAAAGTTGAGGGATGGAATTAAGTAAATAAACTTTCCGGAAAAATTAGTTGCAAAAAAAAAAAAGAATGAAGGATCGATCGAAAAAATTAAGAACACATTAGTAGAAGATAGTCAGGATGCGCTTTCAAATTGCATTTTCTTCTAATGAAAGAAGGAACGACTCTTGCAATTAAAATTTATTTATAACTCAGAAATCGAAAAAAAAGTATTCACAGTAACCTCTATATTATTTCTATTTTGAAAAGAAAAATACTCTGTAAAACAACTAAATACTATGATATTTAAATATTTCGATCCGATTTTCAGAAAATTGCTTACCAGGTTAATTTCATTTTGATTGCAGACTTAAGGATTGTCTTTTAGTGGTAGATGATTATAAATGCAACATGGCCTATGTTAATGGATGATGAGTCAAGCCTATCGATTCCAGGAATGGATAGATGATGCCTTCATCCATTCACTCTTTGTATGATTCATTCGTTCGTTAGATAGAAAAACGATTGCTTTACTACTTGCCCGTGGGAAGAGAGGAAGATTTAGGCTCATTAGAATCATCGAAAAGCATCAGGCTATTTTGTCTATGTGACTTATTCTATCGATATCACAGTTAGCTCGTTTTAGTAATATTTCCCTATAGGATTGATTAGTCAATTGTTGTTTCATTTTGTTTAATTTGAAATTTCTTTTAAGCAATAACACAGCTTACTGGTGATACATTCACATAACTATTTATTAAATTTGCCATTTTAAAATTTGGCCATTTCATCAATCCCTTCTACTTCTTCTTCAACTATCCATTGCTTTATGTCATTAGTCTGAAAACTGAATGCACAGATTTAGATACAAATGTAATATCAATCAATTCATTGCGATAAATTTGCTCCTCATGAAAGTATTCAAACACCACTTGATATTTCGATATTTCATTTTCTACTTCATTTAATTTTAATACATATCACTCAAGTAATTGGCTTCTATTTCATTATGATTGCTGCTGATGATAGTAATTATGATAATAACGATAATATCCATTGATACAGTGGTATTATATTCTTAAAATTCCGTTGAAATTTAATACTGAACTGTCATTGACAAGAAAATATTCGTTTGTAGAAGCGAGATGCAAATACTTAAATACAATCATTCATTGCAGTTTTTACCTTCTATTAGTCTTTCTTCTTACATTGTATCCTAATATTGATATCAACAAATGTTTTCTACAATTAGAACTTAACAGTATCATTGCAAGTGTTTTTAAATGAGTGTAATTAATGAATCACCAATATCTGAAGAAAATACAACATTTAATCAATTTCACAGCGTTAGAGCGAAGTTGCCGAATGATTGATAAAATGAAATAAATAATTTGGGTCTTTATCAAAATCAATAAGAATTCTTAATTGGAAGAAATTAAATTTCTGGTAAATTTCTTTTGTCTTTTGATATTTGATATGCTATACTGTCCTTCAATATAAGAAAGAGATTTAGGAATATGAAGGGATCGAGTATATTCGGATGAATATTTTATTTCTGAAACTCAAAAGAAGTCTTTTTCTTCCTTTTCAGCATCCCTTTTACAAGTTTCTTAAAAAAATACATTTCTTTGATGTTTTCGGAAGCAGAAGGTAGAGTTTTGTAGAAAGTTTTTGTAGAAAATGACAGATTCTTCTTTATTCTACCATACTTCCCCACACTTCTCTATTGTTTTACATAAAACCTTATTTGTTCTGTTTTTTTCTTTAGCTACCAATTATTGGCACTGTATTTAATCACATGACCTAAAACATAATTAAACGATAGATATTTGTACTGCCCTTCTTCTGCAAAATCGATCATTTCATGCTCATTTTACACTTACAATAAGGAAAATCTTATTATGTAAGACTACTGATATTTCCCACTGGCTATTAATGACATGTATTATTAGTCTTATATTTATGAAATTTTCATTTTTAGTATTTATTATTAAACTGGGCATACTACGACATGTTGAAAATAAAGGATATTTTCTATACTGATCTAGCGTTAGTTTTTTTTGATTTGTAGAAATGTATAGAGAGGAAAGATTAGTATCCGACATCAAAATCCACTCCACTTGTTTATCCCAATTAATTTGCTTCGCTCTGTATGTCACAAATAATTTGTTCGTTTTCCGTTAGTTCAAATATATTTTTAAAATGAAACTTAAAATATCCCAGTAGAATTTTATGAGAACAGCAAATCTCAACAAATATGGCCAAAAAAAGAATTTAATCCTATGTAAAAGTTGTTTAAATCTTATTGTACATTGTAAAAGATGATGCAAAAGAAATACAAACGGAGAATAAATTCAACTCATAACAAAATTCCATCCTCTATTTCGCAAAAAATATATTAATAGAAAAGAGCAGTTGAAAGCATTAAAGATACCGCCGTCCTTGGCCGAAGAGAAGAGGTGATTGCAATCTTTGACTGCAACCAATAATGAATCATTAAATAAAAAGAAATGAAAAACACTTACAACAAATTTTTAACCCTGTAAGAACGGTTAACTTCTTGGCAATATTTGTGTTAATGATATTTTGTTAGTTCAAGAAGAAAGTGGTAAAAATTGTATGTGTATAAGAAAATTGCAAGATTTTGGGAATTTTTTATAGGATAGATAATGACTATTGTGATACAATAATTTTGAAAATAATAGTTCTTGAAAGGACTCCTTTTCCTTTTAAATTATTTCTAGATCAGAAGCGGAAATGTCCAGCTCTATCAAAATATTGGATGACCTCTCTCCTAGGCATCTTACTGGATTCACTGGATCACTTCTTGACTTGGCATTTCATATTGATTCAGCCAGCATTCAACATTTAACAAAGACAAAACAGTTTTTAAAAACTATAGGATAATTTGAAATAAAATTATTACTTGTAGTGGAAGGAAGGGTTTTATTTATGCTCTCCTTTTATATTACATACAGCATATCAATTAAAATATTTTAAGCATTTTAAGCAAATAAACAACTGATGAACGGAGCATTTGCAATGCAAAACATTATGCTCAATTTTTTATACTAACGATTAGCTAAAAGCTTACCGTCTTACTTCTGCTTCCAATAAATTCTCCTCAGATATCGTACAAGTGATCTAGAGGGCTTTTTTTTTTTAATTTGTTGACTTCCTATTATACAACGTCCTTAGTGAACCACAAATTCATCTCACAGAAAAAGGAACGAAGGCAACCTAACCAAGCAGAACCCCATTTTTTTTTAAAATATAGGATGAAAAGTGTTCACGTTTCTTAATATAGAATTCTTTCGCACTTCATCATTGCTCATTTTTGAAATTTTATACAAAAGGAAGTGTAAAATTTCATCAAAAGTAATTATAATGTAAAATTTCATCCAAAGTAATTGTAAAATAAACTAAATATAATAGAATAAACAAATAAAAGATGAATTGAACAAGAATAGAAATTTTATTTTCAGAGATGGCATCGCGGAATGGGCAATGATTGAATTATAGGGGACCTTAGAGTCAGCTGGTATACTTGCAGGACAACGAATTGGTAGCTTAAAATGGGAAAATAAAAAAGTGTTCCTTTTTTCCAAATAAATAAATTCAAGAGTATAAGTGAAAAAAAAGTGAAACTTCAAAATCCGCTGAGTGTACTTGCACGAGATGCTGAAAACCAAGGAATTGCACAAATTTCTGCTGTGATTCGTAAGAAAGTTTAGTTCCGTACTCGACCAATGCCTGTGTGATTGATTTGTCATGATTTTGTATCTAAATGTATATGTCTTTGCCTAGCAATTTCTTCACTTTATCTGCGGTTAGGAGATATATTTCTCAAGATTACTTCTCATGAGATACAATTTCTCATTAATACTCGAACAGGTGTCCTATAAAGCGACAGTCATACCCTCGAAATTTTATGAGCTTTGGTCGCATCTCTCCAGCAGAGTATTTCAGTATGTCGGTTTACACATGTATATATATATATATATATATATATATTTGATGCTTTCTTGACTTTCTTCTATATTTGGTTTCTCTGCTGCACCAAACTTTCTCAGCATATAATAAAGTGAAATCACACATAAATTTTTGACTACCTTTTATAGACATTCGATTAAAAAATGTCTTTCAAAATATTCTTTCGATGATAACGAAAATTGTTTCAAACTTAAATGGAAAGTATATTGTTCATTAACACATTTTTTGGACGACTGGATCTCAACCCGCATACTATCCCAAAAAATATATAAACTTTATGTAGGAGAATGAGAGAATCCTATTTACAGAAATAGAACGCTTAACTTGGAAAGCTAGAACGAAAGCAATAAATCAGGACTGCTTTGTCACAGTGATATCTTTGACATTACTGTTTTTAGAACAAAATGACATAGAAATTACAAAACCTGACAAGATTTATACAAATTTATATTTAGTCTGCACATCTTCTGTTGCAAATAGAGCCACTACAGAAACTTAGTTCACTTTAGTAAGTTCGCTGCTAACTGTGATATTATTCGTGCTCGTCTCAAATTTGCACTTGTATCTGTTCCCTATATGCTGGAAATGAATTAAACCAATAAAAAAATTCAGTCTAAACTTGCAAAATATCAGAGCATCGTATAATATTTCATCCAAGTGTTCTGATTAGGTAATTCAAATTAGTTTATTCAACCTAATTTACTTGTCTCATTTGAAAGGAATAAGGCGCTCCAAACCAAAGTGAGACGAATTTTTTAATAAAGTTTTTTTTTTTATAAAGTTATGATCCTTATGTTATAATGCACAATATTCACCACGCACATTTGCTAACTTCTTATATCTAGGAAATAATACCAACGCATTGTTCTCCTGCTTTACCTGTTAAAGATGTTTATAATCAATTTAAAACATGGCGGTAGCTACCAGCAATGGTAGGATCCCTTACTTGTAATATCATTAACACATTTTCGATATACCAGTAAAAGTTTGGAAAAAATCAAATAGTAACTATGGAATTGGCAAATCAATGCTGTAAATAACTGTATATTTCTTATGATTTTAATCGTTTAACAAACAACTAAAGATCAAACTTTATTGAAGAAACAAATAAAGTACTAGAAATTAATTGCATGTCCGACTTTGAGTTCTATTTTCCTAGCACGAAAAATAAGAGAGGATGCCACACCTAAATTTGAGATCCGTTTCTCCATCCAGTTTTGTTGCCAATTGATTCAACAGACATAACAAAATATTTTGCGGAATAGGCTGCTCGACACTGTAATTACATCTGGGTCTACATTGTTGCAAACAAACATTAGGGCTCCAAAATCTTTTAACACTAATGCCTTAAAAAAAAGTTTCGTTTTTGTTCTAAAAATTTGAAAAAATAAAGAATATAAAGAGTTAAACAATTAAAAGAATTTCTGGAAATAGATGAAAGAAATTAGACGGCTTTTAAAAGAAATACGAGGTTTACAGAAGCCAAAAATCAATCTATTTTTTGGCATGCAATAAATTTCAAAGATCATGAGTGGTTTGTGAATTTAACAAAGTGATCCATATTGTGATAAATTATGCGTGGATATAGATAAGTGATTAAGACTTTTGGCTCATGCTACTAAGTTGTATATAACTATTTTAGGCCAATAATATATATAAATGCAAAAATTAGTATCAGGAAGTAAATATCATTGTTTAGAAAGGAAATTTAAAATAACCTTTTCAAATGCTATAGTTGATACGTTGATTTTCAATAAGATTCATAAAAGCTGATGGATCGGCAGAAGACGAATTATTCGTCATCATTCAATCAGGAACTGTTTGATTTGTTTTTAAAGCATTGGTACAGAGTGCGTGTATTTGCTTCCAAATCCATAGTTTGCTGTTGCTGAGATAAATATTATTCACTGGTTTTATGAAAGCTTGAAAATTTATAAAACGAGTTTAAATGCCAATTCGAAAAAAATTTTTTCTTTTTTTTTTTTTTATCAAAAGCCTAGATGTTTTACAAAATTTAACAGGACTATAAAATCCAACTTTAAAATTATCGGCAGTTTTTGATCGAAGGTTCTGAATAACACTATCCATTTTAAGATCGAGAAAGGTTTGCATTGCTTCTTGTTTTCATTGATCAAAGATTCTAGCTTCAGAAACAGTCTCTCATCACAAGACACGATATCTTCACCTAAGCAAAATCAAACAAATATTAATTGTGAGATGTTAGCCACAAAATAATTCAAAATATTTTTCATGAATCAACAAAACATTTTACCCAGATCACCTACATTCATCGCATTTTTCACCACCTAATCTTTTCCTTTTGAACAAGAAAAGTTGCTAGTATGGTCAACAAATTTATTCACGGAAATGAAATTGAATTAAAAAAATCAGGAGGAATTGAATCTATCACAAAGGAATTCGTTTAACCCTCTTCAAAAAATGCATGGCAAAGTAAATGAGATGAGTGAAAACCAAAATTAAAATAAAATTCTTAAGATTTATACTCCTTAACTTCCTCAGTCAGAAAGCTCATCTCTAGTACTTTGGAAAGAGTGTTATCATACTAGTAGTAATGAGAAAAATAGTAAAATCGTAATGGTAATAATGACGGTAATGAAAACGATAATAAAACTAATTATAAGATTAACAATAATATTAATAACAGCAACATTAATAAGTTAAACAATCTTAATTAAAATGATGAAATTACACCTAGTATTACATATTTACAGTCTAACAACTTTTTGACCAGCGAAGGTCTGTTCACTTCCTTATATTGCCAATTTTTGGAAAGTTAACGGAAACAATTTCTTCAAAAATGATCCCATCTAATGCATAATCGTCAACTATATCGCCAAAAGAGCAATAAGTGATTCCACTATTCTGTAGCATACAGTGAGAACCATTTCATCAGTTAATTGGTTCAAAAATTTAATGCTTCGATGTTTTTTTGTAATTTTGAGTTGTAATGAATTTTTGCAACTTTATTCTTGAGCTAATAGTTCTCTTCTCAATGAGTCATCAGCAGATGTATTACAATGGTCTTTTCGTTCGATCAACTATGTTGGCTTCCTTTCAGTCTGATCTTCATGTTTTTGTGCAATTCGTGATCATATAGAATCTCTAGAAAAAAACTCTTCAAGGTTATTTATTTCAGAAACAGTGTAGCAAATGGTGATAAAAGACAGCAGAAATCGGGAAATCTGGATCGTCTGGATGCTTTATATCGCCACTTGGAAAGTTTAAGTTTAAATTTTGAAAAACAAGCGGAAAATTCTAAAAACGGTTGAAAGAGGAAAGAGATCGAACAGATGCCGAAATGCGAAATGCGGCAGTTACGTAAGTATTACTCTTTCAAATCATTCATACTGAAATTTCTATTTCTCTCTCTCTCTCCTTGTCTTTCCCTCTCCCCTAGTAATCCACAGTTCAAAAATCTCTTTTAAATAATTCATGCATATTTATTAATGCTTCGCTGCGATCAGTTACTGAAAATGATTATTATGATTAATTATTTCAATAAATTGAAGATGAACGGGTTGCGAGCTCGCTTTTTTCAATTTTTTTTTTTTTTTTTTTTTTCACATCGAAGCATTAAATTTTTGAACCAGTTAACTGATGAAATGGTTTTCACTGTATGCTACAGAATAGTGGAATCATTCGATATATAATATAATTTATTTGGAGGTTCGCGAGACTTATTTGTCACTTTTGCGACAACGTACGTTTGGTCTAATTTAAAGCAAACTGTGATTGTAAAATGAGGATTTGCTTACATAAGATAAATGTTACTATTGTATTCTCATGTTTTCAAAAGAAAAACTGAAAATAAATAATTGAACGTAGTTCCGCCGAATCAACTTTATCTACATATTCCGATGTTTTTCCTATTGTGGTAACATAGAAATTGATACTGTACTTGCGTAAAATATCACTGGAAAAAAATTGATTTTGTTACTAATAATAACAAAAGGCATTTCATTTCTCTGATAATTATAATCAAAAACATCGTAAGATGAATGTCAATCAGTTCATTACTTTAGGGATTTCACCGAAATCTATTTTACTAATAGTAAATGAAGAAATAAAATAAAAACTTCCTTAATAAAGATCATTTTTTGAACACATAAAAATAACTACCTATATTCGTTATCAAACATAAAAATATGCTCTCAGTTGATCATTTGGATATTCTCAGTTAATCATTTGGCTTGAAATCTTATTAAAGATTTAAAAATTTTCCTCAGATATATTATATAAAATGCGTAAATGTGGGATGAAATTTTACGTCATTTCAAATTCTACTATTTGTCAAACAATAGTAAACAAATGTCGCATTGAAACAGACACAATATGATGTTTGTACTAGTCATCGATTCCGTTCAGCATCTGTTTATTTCGTCGAAATTTGTTCCTATTCTAGACTGATCGATATTTGTGTCGTTATGTTCTTCTACCTGCAAAGCGGGAAGTAAGTCATAGAAGGTTCGGGATTTTTGATTTGATCAGTTTCTGATATCGGTCACTGTTTGCTGTTAGTATCGCAAACATGCTCCCCTGGAGAACGGTGAGCTGAATTTTCCGCTTCCCTCTCCTCCTCCCTTCCCTCCCCTCTCCTCTCCCACTTCTCCCTCCTTTCTCTCTCCCTTCTCTTTCTCCCTTCCCTCCTCTCCCCTCTTCTCCTGCCCTCTCTACCCCTCCCCTCCGTCTTCTCCTCTCTCCCTCTTTCACCCTCCTCTTTCCCTCCTCTCCTCCCTCCCCCTTCTCCTCTCTCTCCTGTCCTCTCCATCTCTCCTATCTCCCTCACCCCTCCCCTCCGTCTTCTCCTCTCCTGTCCTCTCCATCTCTCCCCCTTTCTCTCTCATCTTCCTCCTCTCTCCCCTCTTCTTCTCTCGTGTCCTCTCCATCTCTCCTCTCTCCCTCTTTCCCCCTCCTCTTCTCTAACTCCCTCCTTCCTCTTTCCCTCCTCTCCTCCCTCCCCCTTCTCCTCTCTCTCCTGTCCTCTCCATCTCTCCTATCTCTGTCTTTCTCACTCCCTCCCCTTCCTCTTCCCCTCTCCCTCTTCTCTCCTCTCCTCTCTCCCTCTTTCCCCTCCTCTCTCCCTCCTCTCCTCCCTCCCCCTTCTCCTCTCTCTCCTGTCCTCTCCATCTCTCCTATCTCCCTCACCCCTCCCCTCCGTCTTCTCCTCTCCTGTCCTCTCCATCTCTCCTCTCTCCCTCTTTCCCCTCCTCTTCTCTCACTCTCTCTCCTTCCTCTTCCCCTCTCCCTCTTCTCTCCTCTTCTCCTCTCCATCTCTCTTCTCTCCCTCTTTCTCTCTCCTCTTCCTCCTCTCTCCCCTCTTCTAAAAGTAAGGGATGAAATGAGGACAATCTTCAGCCTCTGCATTTTGCCTGTTTTGTACATTCTAGAGATAGGTGGAAGTATTTTTATACAGGGAACGATGTCCTCATGTAATTTAATTCCTCGCATCATTACCATCTACTGTTTTAATTCAGTGGTTGCATTATTTGTGCGAGTTCCTCATAATTTTTATTTGTTGGCGCACTGCCCAATGCATAGCCGCCCAAAACAGCCCATCCAATCCGTCCCATTGCAAATTCTAATTCTCCTTTCGATTCACCAGGAACAATATACATGAAAATACATCTGTTATAGCACTTAAGTAGCGTTTTGTTAACAAAAGAGTTTCACATCATTTTCTTACAGTTTTCCCACTTAAATGAAAGTTAAGTTTAAGGATTTGATATCGAAATAAAATTATTAGAGAGAAATTTATCGAAATAAAACTGTTGAATCTTTTAGATCTTAACAACTAAAATTCACTTTCGAAAACGAAAATAAATAAATAAAAAGAAAAATGGAAACAAAGCGTATTTAACGTCTTACAACTTACTGAGGAGTAGATTCCCGGAAAACGGTAGGATCCATCTGTAAGTATGGCGACAGCTGTTTCTCAAATGGTACGCCAGCTTGCTTCAACTGATCTAACGCAAATATAGGAGATCTATCTAAACTGATCATATTTGTACTATCTCTACCAGAACCCAAAGCGTCACTTAAGTCAGATACTGCTGAATCAATCACTGCTAAATCAGGCAATGAAGTTGACTGCGTCTCTGAATGCGAAGAGTTAGGCGATGAAGAAAGCGGAGGCTTTGTTGAATTAAACGGCCAAACCATTTTGACACTCAGCTATAAATGAAAAAATCAGATTTTAAATCGTTTAGTCTTCTGAAGAGACTTTAGTCTTCTGAAAAGACTAAACGATTTAAAATCTGATTTTTACATCTACATAAACAAAAATAAACTTTGCTAACTAATATCACGAAGGGTTGTACCAATCACGACTACTAAGAACAAAAGCTTTTTAAGATAACATGAACCAACTTCGAAGTCCCTACATCTATGAGCACTTTGAAGTTGGATCATATTACTGGTATGAAATGAATAATAAAGACTAACAGGGTAATAAAAAGTGATCTCTCTAAATACCTCATCAGTTACGTGAATATGTTGCTTTCTCTTTCTTAACTATGTCAACAATTTGTTTTCATTTTTTCACAATAAACACTGAATGAAAAGAGACACTCTCCTCCAAATGGATGTATTAGGCATTTCTCCCAATAAATAAAAATTATGAGGAACTCGCACAAACAACTAATGCAACCACTGAATTAAAACAGTAGATGGTAATGATGCGAGGAATTAAATTACATGAGGACATCGTTCCCTGTATAAAAATACTTCCACCTATCTCTAGAATGTACAAAACAGGCCAAATGCAGGGGCTGAAGATTGTCCTCATTTCATCCCTTACTTTTAGAAGAGGGGAGAGAGGAGGAAGGGAAGAGAGAAAGAGGGAGAGAAGAGAGATGGAGAGGAGAAGGGGGAGGGAGGAGAGGAGGGAAAGAGGAAGGAGGGAGTTAGAGAAGAGGAGGGTGAAAGAGGGAGAGAGGAGAGATGGAGAGGACACGAGAGGAGAAGACGGAGGGGAGGGGTAGAGAGGGCAGGAGAAGAGGGGAGAGGAGGGAAGGGAGAAAGAGAAGGGAGAGAGAAAGGAGGGAGAAGTGGGAGAGGAGAGGGGAGGGAAGGGAGGAGGAGAGGGAAGCGGAAAATTCAGCTCACCGTTCTCCAGGGGAGCATGTTTGCGATACTAACAGCAAACAGTGACCGATATCAGAAACTGATCAAATCAAAAATCCCGAACCTTCTATGACTTACTTCCCGCTTTGCAGGTAGAAGAACATAACGACACAAATATCGATCAGTCTAGAATAGGAACAAATTTCGACGAAATAAACAGATGCTGAACGGAATCGATGACTAGTACAAACATCATATTGTGTCTGTTTCAATGCGACATTTGTTTACTATTGTTTGACAAATAGTAGAATTTGAAATGACGTAAAATTTCATCCCACATTTACGCATTTTATATAATATATCTGAGGAAAATTTTTAAATCTTTAATAAGATTTCAAGCCAAATGATTAACTGAGAATATCCAAATGATCAACTGAGAGCATATTTTTATGTTTGATAACGAATATAGGTAGTTATTTTTATGTGTTCAAAAAATGATCTTTATTAAGGAAGTTTTTATTTTATTTCTTCATTTACTATTAGTAAAATAGATTTCGGTGAAATCCCTAAAGTAATGAACTGATTGACATTCATCTTACGATGTTTTTGATTATAATTATCAGAGAAATGAAATGCCTTTTGTTATTATTAGTAACAAAATCAATTTTTTTCCAGTGATATTTTACGCAAGTACAGTATCAATTTCTATGTTACCACAATAGGAAAAACATCGGAATATGTAGATAAAGTTGATTCGGCGGAACTACGTTCAATTATTTATTTTCAGTTTTTCTTTTGAAAACATGAGAATACAATAGTAACATTTATCTTATGTAAGCAAATCCTCATTTTACAATCACAGTTTGCTTTAAATTAGACCAAACGTACGTTGTCGCAAAAGTGACAAATAAGTCTCGCGAACCTCCAAATAAATTATATTATATATCGAATATAATTATATTAATCCATAATATTAAAATTTGTCTTGATTGAACATTCATTAAAGAAATACAAGTGTCTCAAATTGCATCTCATGCAAGTAATTATTCTAACACTCACCTTCCTGTTATAGCTGAGCTTATCTGCTTTTCTGGAAATTTTCAGCTGTTATGTGCATTTTTTAATATGCTAAAGTATTCCTTTATTGCAACAAATTTTCTTATCTCAGGCAAGTCAAATATATGATTGTTTACGTTTTCTTGATTGCATTCTTATTGCAAAAGATCGTACCCTAAGCTAATGTTCTAGCCAGTAATCTGAAGAACAACAAGGCATTGAATATTTAGATCATGAGGTAATTGAACAACAATCAAAAAGGCAACATCAGAAACTTGAATACAATGTGTTATTTTTGAGCGTATCTGATAACCATAACTTCATGCGAAAATAAATGCAATAGCAAATTTGCATTTTAACAGTACATAACAAAACCATTTACAATATAATTGTTCTTATAAAAGAATTTATATGAACATCCGAAATTGCACAGCTGTGTATAGGTTTCGCCCAAAAATTCATATTGCGATATGAAATTTCGCCATCACAACATTTGTGCCACGCGATAATCGAAGCTATAGCACAATGATTGTAATGGTTGAGAATGACACTCCTTCGTTCTTTCCATATGAAATACAGGTCTTGGATTGGTTAGCCAAACCGAATAACATAAAGCTGATAGTACACTACCCAGATTGCACAAAAACTCATTCTTCCTCTGTTGGTAACCACAAATTCTGAAAAATGATATGAAGAAAAAATATGTGCTTATTACAGTTATCAATGAAATGGTAAATATTTAGTTTTAACATGAACTGATTGAAGTGTTTATATTATTCAAATTTCTCATACCAAAAACCTACTAATGTTGTGCAAGCAGTAGCTAACATAAAGAATCGTGGATTGAATAATATTTTATGAATAAGAGGAGAATGTCCTGAGGCAAGCTTTGCAACTCTTTGGCCGGTTGTAACAGACCATGATACTATACTGCTATCTGTGGAGCCACTGAATACATATTGTGCGTCAGCACAGAATGTTGCATCCAGTTCAATGCCTTTACTATTCTCGTGACCTGAAAAGTTTCTAGAAAAATATGTAGTCCTCCATACAATGTTTGTGCCGCAAATTATGAAATTAAAGTTGTAATATTTGGTGCTTTGAAGTTTAGGCAAGTTCGAAAGTAGTGTCAAGCAGTGCATAATTAAACGATCGAAATAAACCGAAGTTCCGACACCCACTTTATGTAATGTTTGAGGAAAAAAGATTCTATCCACACTGCACGACTATTCAAAGCTTTTCTCCAACATACAAAATAATTTGATTTTGAACGTTGACTGTTGTCAAAAGCACTTAACAGACCTCTTAGAACGTGAATTAATGTTCCTTTAAAGGAATCAATAAGAGTAACCGAAGAGCCATTCGTTGTGATCATAATCATTTTACCATCAGGAGAAAACTTCAAACCTGTCCAGTCTTCTTTTGCTTCATTTTCCACCTTAAAAGTCGTAAACGGTCCCTGGAAAAAGTGCAATGAAATACTTCATATAATGCCGCTTTTTAACCAAGAAGATCAACGGAAAAATCTCACAGTAATACAAAGTCTTAGTGACGCCTACTCAGCGATACAATGTGTCACTGAAGTGCTTGGGGTTTCAAGAAAAAGGAAAAATACATTCGCAGGGAACATAGTGACAAAAGCGATATAAGTTCATTCATAATAATACAGATAAAACATTTCTGCGGGCAACTATTTCAGAATACGCATTCAAGTATGAAAAGTAGATGGAATGTCAGTAAACCACTGCATATAGCCTTTCTGTTCTTCAGGAAAGATTGACAAGAAATTCAACCTTACTTTATCAAATGACCGCAGATCATACAATTTGATTGTATCAGAATTGATCCCTGCTGCAAATATCAAACCTTCCGGGTCAAAAGCGGCGACAGGTCTTGAAGGTACGTGCATCAACCCCTAAAGCAATTTAAAAAATATAAGATGCAAGGGAAATCATCAATTCTGCCCAGTTATAGCAGCAATTCATTCTGGGGTATTACAAAAGTTTTTAGTTTTTAAGAAGTTGAATGACAATTAGAAAATCATTAGAATGGCAATATCAAAGAAATCAAAACAAATATGAAGCATACCTGACAACTTTGTATTCGTAAATCCCATAAACGAATTGTTTTATCCAAAGAACCAGAGAGAAACATATCGTCTAGCGGAGACATACATAATGTCACTACCCTGATAGAATAGAAGTGAAAATGATTTCTATAATTAAAAAAACATATAAACAAATGAAAAAGAAAACTTACTTCTTTTGATGGCCAGGAAAATACCTGATGTACTTGTTATCATGTAATGATAGGTATCGAATAACATCTAAAAAACACAATGAGAAATTAAACGACTTTGATGTCTAAAATTTATTTGGATTAACTGTTTATTTATATAGAAGTATTCAGTAATGTTGATCAAAGAGATGAGTATGAAATTTTTACGCTTTATAATTATAAATGCTGTTAAGTTTTCTGGATTACGACAGAGTGTCATAGGACTTTTCTTAACTGCGTAGGGTTAAGCTATATGGATCAAAATGATTTAAGGATGTTTATTATTTCAATGAATGATTGACTGCTTCCACTCAAATACTTTCTTAGAAGAGGTTAAAAATTATGAAGGAACAAACCATTGACATTTACTACAGTTAAACTGACCATCAACTTTTGTGGAACAGTGTATAGCGTTTGATGTATTGTGTGCGAATTGTATCAAATCTACACCATATTTCTTACTGTTTACCTAAAGATTCACATTCCATCCAAAGTTGAAGATGAGGTTTAAAAAGAACAAACAGTTGCATAAAAAATAATTATTAGTCATTCAATCTTACATCTTATCATGTTCCACTTGAAACTCCGCAAAGCTAATGTTCCAAATTTTCGGTATAGAGCTTCAAGGAAGAAGACCAGTCATCTACATAATTTGCATAAGGTTAACATTTCAAATAATATTACCGATCGACTTTTCTGTCCACTAACACAATCATACATAATAATTGAGTCGTCATCGGAAGATGAAATCATTTGTAAACCATCCGCACTGAAATCCAAACTGTTGATTGGGGCCTGAAGCACTATCACAATTAATCAGACATATAGTTTTTAACTTGTCGAAATTAAGAACATGACCTGAATAGATGAATGAAAGTTTTGCATACTTTAACTATCCAATATATATTACGCAATTACTGTTTTGATTTTATATTGCAAACCTGATTATCGCTGAAACTTTTCGCAGGTCTCATACTCGCAACAGTCCTGTCACTAGCTTTCATTTTGTTCACCTTATTGATTAATATAATCTGAAACATCATCAATTCCAATTATGTCATCAAAATAATTCCCTTACATAATCGCATTCATACCTCAGAATGAAAGAGAGAAATGAATATGCAAGTATTTATAAATTCCGCACTTTGCTCATCATCGATATCTAAAATATTTCAAGATGTGATTTACATTATGCCATTTTTCCGGTTTATCATGGCACTTCATTTGCTATTAATCGGAAAGCATTTCCTTCCAACCCAAACTTCCGTTGCTTCAATCCACGTCTCACAAGTGGCCAGCCATATCAATCCGACTTTGTCCATGACTCGTAATGAAAACAGTGACTCCCGAACTTCGTGAGGAACAGAGAGAGGAAGGAGGAAAAGGGCGATGTATCGAGCAGAACTGACTGTGACAGTTGTTTTTAGCTGAACGTGATGCACCAACAGTTTCTGGCATGCTAGACTGTCTGGTAGAGTGGTAAATGTTGTCGAGACTAGGAAGTCCATCCTCAGATCGGTCTATTTCAGCCATCGCAGTAGTCCAGCAGCAGCATTATTCCATTGAGTTGTTATCTGTTGTCAGTCATTTTAAGTCATGGACATTCCATTGGATTTGTGTTACCATTGTAATCTATTCCTTCGAATAATGGCTTCGTGTAAAAATGCCGAATTAACACCGGGTTTACTAAATTTCATAGTAAAGGAGGTCATAGTAAACAAGATCTTTCAGCTATAATACGCAGATTTATCCGAAGAGTTAATTTTCTGTTCACTTGCTTCTCATGAATTGCTTATTATTTTCAGCCATGATAGTCCGAAGCGGAATGTATTTCGGACCATTGATAGGTGATATCATTTAGGCTGTGGAACTATTATTATATTTAAGGAAGATGGGAAGTTTTGGTGAAGGATTAACAAGTCCGGAGGTGGAAATTGTTGAAGGAGGAGTTATCGTAGATAGTAAAACGTTAGTTCTTTAATGTTTGAAACAAATAGCAATTCAGAGTTTGATCTAGTTTAAAGAAGGAAAATAACTGATCCATTATGGAATAGTAGCTAATTAATAATTCCAGACGTTTTGCCGATCTGAAAGCAATGTTAGACAGTTCGAAGGATAATTTGAAGATGGATGCTATGAAACGAATCATAAATGTAAGCTTGTATAATGAAAAGCTGTAATTTGAGGAGTGATGAATTTTTAGTATTTGTTAAATTTTTTATTTCAGCATAAAATGCACATGCTAATATAATCAGATAAGGTCTTAATGTATATTTCTCCTTCTATAGGGTAAAAGAAAACAGTTAAAGTTAAATATTAAGCCGAAAGATTAGTTTTTGTAATCATGAAAGTTATATTTGATTGAATGAGGTGTTTATTGTTAAGCTGGTAGCGAAAGGGCGTGATGTGTCAGAACTTTTTCCCGCGGTTGTTAAGAATGTTGCTGCTAAAAATCTTGAGGTTTGTTGAATTTGAATATAAATTTGGTTATAAATATGTTTCTTAAATTGCGTGAAATCTGCATGTTGTTTGGATAAGTCGAAATTCTTACAGCTAAAGAAATTGGTTTTCGTTTATCTAGTGAGATACGCCGAAGAGCAGCAAGATTTAGCACTTCTTTCAATCAGCACTTTTCAACGCGCCTTAAAAGTAAGTTTAAACTTTGGGAAATGAATATCTTCAGAATATACTGGATAACTTCGAAATCATGGACACTTCATTCTATTAATTTTGTTTCCTTTCAGGATCCTAATCAACTTATTCGGGCAAGCGCCCTACGTGTTCTATCGAGCATCCGAGTACCTATGATTGCTCCAGTAATGTTGTTGGCTATACGTGAATCAGTTCGTGACATGTCTGCTTATGTTCGAAAAGTTAGAAATTTTAACACGACTTTTTTGCAAAGCATTTCTCTTCTTCTGAGTACCTCTCATTTTAATTTTGTTAGTCGCTCTTTCCAATTGTTTTAGGTAGCTGCGCATGCAATACCGAAATTGTATTCACTTGAAGAAAATTTACAACCGGAACTGATCGAGTGTATTGATTATCTTCTCGGTGATAAGCGTACTCTTGTACTCGGTAGTGCGGTATATGCTTTTGAGGAAACTTGTCCAGATCGATTTGACTTACTTCATAGACATTACCGGACTTTGTGTAAGGTACTTTTCCCATGACTTGAAGAATGCAGGGAATACATCAAGTGAAATTTATTTCATTTTATCACTTGTTCGTGAAAGATTAAGGTAACATAAATACCGTTTAACGATCATGAACATCCTGAATTTATTGTCCTGTGAAGGGCATTCAACTTCTATATGTGAAGTTTATTTCATGAATAAAATTTAGGCTATAGTAGATGTAGATGAATGGGGACAAGTGGTGATGATTGGATTGTTAACTCGTTATGCACGCAGTCACTTTGTTGCGCCAACAGAAGTAGTTGATCCAGATCTTACACTTTTGCTTTCATCGTGTCGTCCATTGCTACAAAGCCGAAACTATGCTGTAGTTATGGCTGTCGCTCAGTTATTTTATCACTGCGCGCCATCTTCACAACTATCAATTATCTCACGCGCGCTCGTCCGGCTATTACGTGGCCCGCGTGAAGTACAGAGTGTTGTACTTGTTAACATAGCAACAATTTGCGCAACCAGTCCGGTACTTGGACGACTTGATTTTGCTATAAGCAATGTACGATTAACAAAAATATTTGTGTAGAAATGTACATGCAAGACAGGTGATATATGTCAGGTAGCACGGACAATTTTTTTGGTTTTTCTAAATCCTCCTTTTTCCGCTTCAATTTTTGTTTCACGCTTGGTATGCCTTCAACTTTTCTTCTTTTATAGTTTGCTTTTAAATTTCTACGAGGTTCCATTATTTTGACTTCAAAATTCTTGCGCCATTTTTAGAAACGTTCTCAATTCGGGAAATTTAGTTTTTTTTTTTTTTTTATACCAAATTGTCTCGTACTAGAATTTTGAGGACAAGTAATAAACTGCATACTCTACATGCTATAAGGCGTTATGTTCATGTCACTATGATTTAAGGGCTAAAGTTAGCCACTTATTTCGCTCACATATGGAATACTTAAGGATCTAGCCGACCACATTCCGTATAGGAAGATCTTCATTATGAAATAATTTCTGATTATAAATAAATTAAATTTACTGCTTAAAACATGTAGCAAATTAATGTTAGTTTCAAGTTTTTTTTTGAAATTTCTTTCCCAATCCTAAATGCATTTCTTTTTTTCGTGTTACAGTTAACTACTTGTTTCACTTCCTTGCAGAATATGTTCGAATCATTTCTGAAAAGCTTTTTCATACGCCCAGCAGAACCGAAGCATATCAAATTGTTGAAGCTACAAGTGTTGACATCATTGGTTTCAGAAACAAATGTGCAGCTGGTTCTTCGTGAATTACAGGTATAAAATGGTTTTTACAATTTTTTTTGAATCTCCAGTCCATTCTTGAGAGTAACGCTCTATAAGATAATGAATGATACCCACTGATATTTAAAATTATCCAGATTTAGTACCTAAATATATTTTTACTTGCCTGAAGTTTTAGACTTACGTTGGCATAACAGAAATAGCAGATGCTGCGGTAGAAGCAATAGGACAGTGTGCTATTCGTGTTAGTTCTGTTGCTGATTCGTGTCTCTCTGGACTGGTATCCCTAATTGCTTCATCAAACGAGAATGTTGTTTCCGCTTCTGTCGTTGTTTTGAAAAGGTCTTTCATTTTTTATTCATTACTGATAACAGGCCAATCTAAAAATGTAACTTATGTTCTGTTGGAAGGAAATCTCTGTGTGACAAAAACTCTAAAATTTCTGCAGGACAATTGAAGAAATTACTGCTGAGTAAAAACTAGTGGTACATGATTATTTCAATTAAAGTACGAATGCTTTTTTCATTACATTTCCATATAGTTTAAATTAAAGTTTTTGCAGACTACTACACACGAATCCGCCTTTACAGTTACTTACACGTGTACTTCATCTTATTAATTCTGTCAAAACACCACAAGCTCGGGCATGTGTGATTTGGCTTGTTGCTACACATGTTGATAAAGTAAGTGCATCCAGTAAAATTTCTGTGAAAACTGATTTGATAATTCCTTTAGCTTTATAATTTTGAGTGAATTTAAATTAGATATATATTAGAAATGGACGTAAAACTACACATCTGGAAATATGTAAGATTAATAGAACTTCCACTTTACTAGCGCATAGTAGTTAAGACCTTGTTGATCGGATTAACAAGGGGCTTTCGTCCACTGCAACACTTTTAGCATGTAAGCTCTTTGACATCCTTCAAAAAAACACGCCGAACATATACTAAAGTTCAGATTTCGAAAAAGTTTGTTGCCTTTTCTAGGTTCCAACTCTAGCACCAGATGTCTTACGCAAAATGGTCAAAAGTTTTACACATGAAGATGAGATGGTGAAGTTACAAACAGTAAACTTGGCAGCAAAACTGTGGTTTACAAATCATCAGAAATGTGAATTACTAGTGCGCCATGTAATGCAGTTGGCTCGATTCGACCAAAGTTACGATGTTCGGGACAGATGTCGATTTTTACGAAATCTGCTGTTCAGCAATAATAAATTATCTAAATTTGCTAGTGAAATATTTATTACCGAGAAACCATCGCCAACTACACAGAGCACTTTCAAAGGCTAGATTAAGTTTTAAATAAATTTATAATCTTAAGTTGAAGTTTTTTCATGGGTAGTGGAAAAATCTTGAAAATGGAGTAGTAGTGTAGTTCATAGTTCACAAATTTCCTTGTATTTAAAAATCGAAAGATATCTAGACTAATCATGTAGTTATTTATAACATATAAACTTTGGCAGAGTAGAGAACTTTCATTAGACGTTTTGTTGCGGTTCGGTAAAGAATATTTATTGTTTATAGAAGTGAGTCTCATTTTGAATATTATCCCTGTTTTGATTCGTATGTTTCTTCAAACACTAAAAAGAGGTGAGGAGGAGGAAGGAAGGTCCTCTGTTAAAATGGTAAAAGGAAGAGAAGGAGATAATATTCCTTTTGTTTATTCATATAATTTTGGATACAATTCTAGACCGCGAGCAATTCCAGTTAGGGAGTCTATCACACTTCCTCAACCAGCGTTGTAGGAGATATCGCGACTTACCACAGTTTCCGCAAATTGCACCTGATCCATCCATGCGAAATACAAATCAACTGGAAGAAATTAATAATGATATGCGAGTTATTGATGAAATCGAAAACGATGAAAGTGAAGAGGACGATTTTTATTCGGATGATGAAGAACAGAGTGAAGAAGAAGAAAGTGATGAGTATGAGGTATATAGTTGTTTACCACATGGAAGGAGTTGAAAAAGAAGGAAATATAGGATGAACATGGATTTAGGGTAGTGTAACTTTAATTTGAATTGCTTGTAGACATCGATAAATAATTACAATTTGTGATTGTTGGGATGGTAGATTTGAATCGAAAAATTTTCAGGACGAAGATGAAAGTGATAGGGAGAAAAATAAAATCGAAGATAACGAAGAAGACAGAGAGGATGGTAAAAGTAATAAAAGCAAAGAAGATCGAGTTCTTACAATAGCTGAGTCTGAGAAGATGTAAGTTATATAAATATGGAGTTAATATATGCGGGAAGAAATATGGAATGTGTTTTTTGCCGTGTTTATGTCCCTCATAGAGCTTAAGTTTTATTCAGCTTAACTTCACTGACAAATTTTGCATTTTTCAGATCTGGAAATCTTGATCTATTGCTCGATTTAAATTTTGAGCTAGCACCGATTCTTGCTGACAACTCTGTCGTAGGACCGAAACTGGTGAACACATCGTTTATGCCACTCATGAATCATACAGTCTGGCCTACTGGGATTAGTATTGATACTTGTTTTCCGCGTGAGACATCACCAATTTTGTCGTCAATGTGTGCAGTTTTATTTAGGTTCACAAACAATTTGGAGACTGAATCTGCTGAAATTACAGTATCTCCGAAGGTTAGTTCGATATTTATTTAGAATAATATTTGTTTTTTCCTCAGAAGTTTCTATCAGTTACTTTACATTTCTGAGTTACTTTACATTTCGAACTTTAAATTCGTTTCTGATAATTTCAATTATAATATGTCCTGAATACTTAAAACTTGTGGAATGTGATAGCAGGGAGTGGTTCAGCTCATTTAACACTCATGATACAACTTCATGCAGGTTCCACATAAAAGCCCGTTATTACGTAGTAGTAATTTATCCTTTCACCATTAATTTTTCGGAAAATTCCATTATCAAACATTTTTTGGTCCTTGTAATCAAATTTACGAGTTTGGATCTTCTTTCTTTCCGGTTATCCTTTTTCTTGAATAATTTACGAAATATTTTTCAGATCTTGGGTCAAGTGTCAACTAGTGACCAAATTAAGGTAGACAGATTATCACCTGGTGAAAATGTAATTAAGAAAGTCTACATTGACTTTGGTGATAGCAAACGAGCATCTGAATGGGTTATCAGCGCGCGAGATGCCAACGAAGTAACAATCACTATTGAAGCTCCAATGGGCGAACAAATTGAACCGATAATTATGACGGAAGAACAGTTTATAAATGGAGTTTTACGTTTAAGTGGAATGAACGAACACTGCGGAAATCTGAAAGAGCCTTTGAGACCGGAAGAGTTATATACTGTTGCAAATTGCACCAATGTCAACGGTTCCGAGGTTCGTTTTTCAAAATTAAAATAGATACGAAATTGCTTGAAGTCCTGAATATTTAGACTAGGTTAGCTAGCAGCGCAGTGTGCTACCTTACTTTTCTGTTCGATATTTTTTGAATGGTGATTTTCTTCAGTTACAAACGTTTTCTTACAGTCTAAACGTTTTCTTTACAGTCGTTTTCTTACAGTTCTTAATTACTTTAAAACTTGCTCTAGACTCATTTCTGTGCGCAGACGCTATCCAAAAAACAACAGGTATTAATTGCTTTGGAATCAAAACAAGTCCATGTACACTGCGAAAATATTGTGCTTGGCTCATTACTTTGCACTGATATTGTCAAGAAATCTTTGGAGCTGAATTCTTGAGAAATAAATGTTACTGATTTTTTTACTTTTATTTACTCAAACAATTGTCCTTCCTTTTATAAGTGGGAGACGGGAACAGAGTTTTACCATGAGCCAGATAACTACACAGTTACTTTTGCGAAAAGCTGTTTTCATGGAGAAGGTAATTTGCATGCAGCGTGAAAGAATATTCATATTATTAGACATTTTTATATCTTTTCGATTAGCAAAACCTCTTTAGAAATAGCTTAGTGGTAGAGTTATATTATCATTTGTAATATTGTTATCAGTTTAAGATTGTCCGTTTTATGCTTCATACTATAACTGCAAGGTAAGCATTAAGCAAATAAAGCACTCAACTTCGCAGTAACACTTCATTCCTCAAAATTCTAGGTTTACACTGTGGTCGCCTGAATTAAATGAAACTATAGCTAAGTGGACGGCCTTAGAAAATAGTCTGGAAAGAAGATTGCTGAGTTTAACTCTAATCTGACTTTGTAACAAATCATGGGAGGTATGGCATATGGTTTTTTATCTATATATATATATACAAATACAGCACTGAAATGCCACTTTCATTAATATATTAAATTAAGCCACTAACCCAAGCTAGCTTGGATATGATGGAAACCTCTCGTAGAGTAAAAGGGTAAAAGCTCATTTGATCTTGATTTCCAGTAGAAATATAAACTACGAAAACATGACATATTGATCCTTTTCAATTTCTTAGGAAGGGGTGTCAGAAAAGTTGTTACAGAAATGAATAAAACGAGCCTGTCACATAGCGATATTTCGGTGTCCACTGTCCCTATCAAAAAATAAAATTACAAACAAAATTCACCAAATGTTGGATTATCCATCCACCACTAAGGAGGAATATGGGCTATTTTATATCATACTGAAATAGGTTAGTTTTGTTATTTAAAAAAACAGTGGAAGAAAAGTGCCGAATTATAAAATGCCTGATTATTCAAGTCCTTTCCAGTCTTTTCAAGAGAGTAATGCAAATAATACTTCCGTAACAGTTGCCACGGTAATAATTCTGTATAAGAGGAACTGCAGGTGCAGACATTTGGTTCATGTGCTTGGCCAAGAGATTAGTGGTGCGAAGCCTCTAAGTCAGAGTCTCACCCAAAAAAAAGTAGCGATAAATCTGCTACATAAATCTCGTCATTACGTAACTATGGCCGCATTGTGTCGTTATTAGAGCTAATATTTCGTTATATACCCGAGCTGCTTAATGAAATGGTTAAATTATAAAAACCGGGTTGCTCTGTTTGCACTGCTACTATGATTTGTTAAGGCTTATTCTCTGACTAGATGATTTTCCCCTTTTGCTAGGAAACGGTTTGCAGCAGCAATAATATCCTTAAATGAATTCTTAGGCATTCCTCACATATTATTGAGTTCCTTCTCTGGTCTTAAGAATTTCTATTGTACACTAGAGAAGACACGTATATACATCGCGAGATTTTCGAGAATTTTTATCACACAAAAGGAGGGTTTGAAAATATATTCTTGCAGAAACCTAGAATTTAAGTACTTTCTTCCACCACTATATATTACATCTGTCTGCACTACTTACTGTCCTAAGTGATCACGAACTAATTCATGTCTGGTTCATTACCAAATCTTCCTTTTTCATTTATAAAAATGTCTTTTATATATGGGCGCAAAATCGTTTAGGAGCATATAAATGTTAGAGGAAAGGGAGATCTGATAGCGTGTGTGACACACAATTAGGTATGAAAAATTGATATATGAGTTACAAATTATTAACAGAACAATTCAAAAAGTGCGTGAAAGATTCTGTGTGAAAAATAACATTTCATATACACTCATTCACTTTCATAAACTCCAGAAGCACCGAGAAAAAAAAGCAAGACAAAAATTACATTTCAAATTGAAAAATTTTCAATTACTATTATTTTGTCAGTTAATCTATGTATTCGTGAAATGTATTTTCAGGAATTTCAAATATCTTAAGAGTACTATAATTTTAGTTCCATTCGATAGAAAAATATTCTCAAACTTTTGTTATTAGAATTCAAAAAACTTCCCTTTTCCTCACCTACCGAGTCATTTCGAGTCAATAAAGCAATCTCAACAATTTCCTCGTAATTTTAAAAAGAAATAGATTTACTCAAAACCATAAAGAACCATCACCATGAAAAGATATCGACAATTCATTAACATAATAAAAAGGCACCATCTTTGCTCATCAGTTAAAATAAAATTAGTGCATAGACTTTCGAAAGCACGAGAAACATCAACAGTGAAGATGCGATTTCTTCTTAAGTACAGGATATCTTGGTTGTGCATGTATCCTCTTCAGTGTATTAATAAGAACATAACGGCTGAACAGCATATATAGACAGCGAAACCACACCAACTGAGAACGATGTGCCCACATAGCTCGCCAGGCAGTGATGTACAATAGCGGTGAAGAGATATACAGAAATGTAGAGTGGAAGGAACTGATCAGAGCATCCAAAAGTATCACATACTTCCTCCAGAACGATACACTTTCCAATACAAAAATCTAGAAAAAACATTGTCAAATAGCGATATTTTTTTATTACCTTACCATTATTTGGAATGGATAACCAACGAAATGTGTTCTCTTGCAAAAAAAGGTTTAAATCATTCCGTTTAAGTAAGATAATTTTTTTCCCGAATAGTAATAGTGAATGCTAACATAATTCCTTCTTCACTTTAAGTACTCTCAAGTATTTTTAGAATTCCAGTTGATATGGATTTATCATGTTTTATTTAGATTGTATCTGCTCCAATAAACCGCCATTTGATTCCAAGAATAAAAGGATTACCTGTACTCCAGCTGGAATCAAACCATTTGTATAAAGATACTGCAGCGCTCGAAAGCATCCAATATGATTAGGATGAGCACTAACACCACCTTCATCAAAGGTAATTACTAAGTCCACATCCAGCATTTGCATATGTCTCAAGATGACCTTGGCCAACTCTTCTTTAGACCACTGGATGAATCCATCTTGGAAATTATCATAGTTTAGAATAGTCAGATTATCAAGTGATAATCCATGAACAATGAAAGCGCTAGCCAACTCGTATTTACGTTTTACACCCAGACCATTGGAATTACCCGTAGAAATGCAAAGCATATAAATATTTGATCCAGAAAGTCGCAAGCCATGAAGAGTCGGAGTAAAAAACATCGTTTCATCGTCAGGATGAGCAATAACTAGCAATGCCCGCTGACATCTTGGTAAACTCCGTCGTTTTGCGCGATCAAATAAGAGCGAAAGCAGTAATAAAACTGTAAGAATGCAGAAACCAAAAAATGCAAGGATCATTCGAGTGGTGGGATTCGAAGATCTTTAATTTTCTTCCGTGGAATTATTTGCCGTTTCGAGAATCTGAAATGAAAAAAAAAAATTGACTTAAATCAAAGATTTCCACGGGGGTTTGACCGAAGAACACTTTATCGTAATGATGAATGATAACAGCTGCTTAATATCGAAACAAGACGTAGTACATTCCAAAATCTTAACAAGCTAAGGAAAAGCAATCTGTTAATCAGTTAAAACCAGATGATCTTAAACGCCAGTAACCTAATTATATGCTAACTATAGACGGATGTGTCACAAACTTCATACAGGATGTCTCAGTGTTTGGCAATGTGCCATCGTGGAAGTGTTTAACGGATACAGAAATCTAAATATCAGTTATCTGCATAATGCATTGCACAAACTTATAAGTGGAATTTGGCCAACAGAAATAAAGTGAAAAAGTTTTCCAAGTAGCTTCGCTGCTATTATATAACCAGATGGGGAGTTTGTAATGTGGCATGATTTGAAAAAGATAAGCGGTTGTGGGCATCTAGATTAAAATTTGGATTCTAATTCGAAAAACTGCGTATATCTGGATACAAATTTCTCCAGTCGTACTTCCAGAAAAGAAATAAATGACAACACTAAAAAAAATTTTGGGAGATCTAAATGTTTGTAAAACCGATATTCAATACTACTGCATTTCTCAGAAATAGAAAAAAGAAAGCATTACTACCAACTTCTAGATCTACTCAGACTCAACTATATTCTCTTTCATCATCATGATCGGGTGTAATCATGGCAAAATGATGACAATACTAAAAGAAAGGTGAATAAGATCTGCGCTTCAGTGACACAAAAACCATTAAGGACCGAAAACGTAACTCAACCACAGAACATGCTACGCATAGGAGGTTGTAACCTGGTTGACATGCTTTTATCTCCTTGTATCCTTCCTGCGTCTTTTTTCCTAGTCCCTTTTTCTCTAACTACCTAACTGATTTTTATTTATTTGCAATGGAAAAAGTGTCTGCCTTCTTCATCGTAAAAATGGTATGGGATTTGGGATTACAAAAGCCTTGTTCAACATATTTGACGAGTAGTACAAAAATCTGGCATTAACAAGTTAGTAATAATAACAATTAAATATTATTCCGGAAAACCGAAATACCTCAGAAAACGTAGTAACACTTTCTCCTCTGTTAATACGGAAACGGTTGCCACACAAACTGACCATCTTGTGGCCAAACTGTTGCGGGGAATCAACTTGGAGTGCTGCGGATACAGATACAATAAATAAACCAACACCGGATACCGACAAAATCGTGGCGATACCGAGTGCACGTACTCCAAGTGCAAATCCACTCCGAATGTTTCTCAGTTGTTGACCTTTAGTGTGCTGGTATGAGGATCGTAAAGCACAGCCGAAAAATGATCCGAGTGCAAATGCGCTCACTGAAACAGTTTCTAATATATGGAGACAAAAAATAGTAAGTCACCATTTCCTCCCAGTAAGGCTACGAAAGCGGTTTCTGATAGGAAACAAATGAAATGAATAAATAAGTGTATATAAAATTATTAGTCTAACATCTTGATAGCAGAACAACTTATGTTCAAGCATCTCAATTAGTTACTGCAGTCATGACTGTTTGGCAGATGTTCCGTCACTGAAATAATTGAATGAAATATGACGTACTTACTTCGCGAAGAAAGATAACCGGAAATAGTTTCCCTCCTATTTTTTTTTTTTCTTTTTTGCTATTATTAAAAAAACAGAGCTAACAAACAATAACGCAGTTGATCAAAACACTTGAAAAAATGACAGATAAAATCTTGCGCGAGGACACACAAAGAAGGATATGTCACAATTCTGAGAGCCTTTTCTGCTTGCGGTTTATGAGAACAAATGCCTAATAAGAATTCTCGAACAACTGCTAAGAAAATAGATATATTACTTTCCGACTAGATCACATGAAACTTTTATCTAGTGTTAGCACAAAGCAGATGTAGATTGTGTAACTGATTAATATGATTAGCCCAAATCTCAGAGCTTCAATTAAAAAAAAATAAAAAATTGACGTTAGCAGTCGAATTAAATCGAATCCGAGACACACACACACACACACACTTATATACTAATTCTGATAAAAAATGGAGTAAAATTCAGAAATCACTTCAGGAAGAGCAAATACTTCGAATATGAAACAAAAACAAAATATGTTTTGGAGCATTTTATCCTACGGTATGACTTTACTCAACATATACTAAAAAACTACGTAATCCCTTTGCGACGCACTCAGTAATCATAGGAATGATGAACTCATAAGCAACTATATAATCATTTTGAAGATAATAATGAGGTGAAAGAAGGAAACTAGTTAACTAAAGCAACTAAAAGTCAATGAATATAAATTTTTTTAACGAAACATTAATTCCATGACAAACCACATAGTGTTGCTGTAGCTTCATATTAAACATTGCCAAACATCAGAATAAGTTACCAATCCATTTCATTAGCCTAACCATTAATCAAACTATAAACTTTTGTATCACAATGCTTCCCATTACAAGCCTTACTTAACCATCAATAAAATTAAAATAACCTACAGAGTTTAATTTTCGTTGATGTAAGGCTGAAATTCGCAAAATATGTTTCAAAATTCTTTAGAGATTTGCTCTCCGACACGCCACTAACAACAGTCACTTCTGTAACTGCATTCTCCATGCAAGGTGACGTTTTTGGAGCAAGTTTGAAGAAAGCACTCAATAACGACGCTTTTCAACCTGCAATTTCAAATAAATAAAAGGTAAAGAAATGTCTTATTAAGTGCATATCATCAAGCTGCAATTCACGCAAGTTTTTAAAAGAGTGGCATGAAGGACGCAAATGACGGGAGAATTGGTAGTTCAGCGGGAACTAGAAGTTGAATACATGACAATTTAATCAGCTTCATTAGAATATGCACGGCGTTAAAGCAAGTTTCCCCACCAGTTCTTCACACAACCTTCACCTCGAAACGAGGTCCTAAGACTTCGGAAGTAGACTTATAGCCTAGTGACACTCCTACCGTAATATGAAATACTCGCACCGTCTTCACATAATTCGAGCGCACGTTGTCCGAATTGGCGGTTCATTGGTTTTCTTAGCAGGTGGGTAAGTCCGGACGTGACGAGTGATTTGCAGTGACAGTGAGTGGCCACTTTGCTTTCCTATTGTTGCACTTAAATTCGTGAGTTGAAGGAAGTATAGTCAAATTTTGTGACTGATGAAGATGCATCCGGAAACAACGTGCAGAAAGAATCATTCGAGTGAAAATATCGAAATGATGGGAAAATACCGGCTGTGGATGCTGAAAGCTGATGTTGGTGAAGCTGTTGCCGGTTCCCCATGTTCCGATGAACTCATTCATCAGGAGAATCTTTTCCAGGTTTGTTTCAAATTCCTTGCTTCCACTGTCTCGTTCTTTACTTTTTTGATGAAATATTTGTGTAGCTTGAGAGGTAACTCCAGGCTATTTCGTTTGCATGTATAAACAGTAAGTTATCGGACAAGTGAGCGAGACAACAGTTAATTGCGACTGGTCATGACAACCAATCATAACATTATCTACTAATTTTCACCTTCATACAGGATCAGAACTATTTTATTTGATTTCACTCTTTTATTGATTCACTTTGATTATTTTTTGTTCTGTTAGCACAAATAATCACTAGGATCAGGAAGCGAGAATCTAGTACTGTTATTAAAACGATTTTCTCAAAACAGTCTCTGGTAATACAAATTACACTATTCTACAAGAATTTTTTCGCTTTAAAGAGGCTTTTTTAATTCCTTTTTTTCATGAAGTTATCTTCATGAAATACTTTATGAGACATAAATTTAATATCATTAAAGATGCTGAAGAAAAAATCACTGAATCCGAAATGGATCACAAGCAAAGATTGTTTAGAACGAAAATTCGAATGTGACGATTTCTACGTGCTGCCTATTTTCAGGGGCAAAGTGTTTAGCCGTTTGATTTCTTTGAAGTGCAGGTATTCCTCCATGAATTAGTTAATTTTCTGAGATGATTTATAGATTTTACGTTAATAAAATATTCTTAAAGCTTTAGTCATAAGGCCTTGAATTTTTTGTAATGTTTAAAACTGACAGCATCCATGAAATTTTTTCATCTTATAGAATAATAATTAAACAAATCAGGGTATACGGAACATTAGCACTCATAACATGTCTGAAAAAAAAAGAGCGTCTTCCAAAACGGCACTCTCCTGTTTGGTCTACAACTTTGCAGGATTCCATTGTGTGCTTTAGTGGAATCGAGATGAAAATACGGGTTCACTTTCTGTTTCTGTAATTCTATTTTCTTTCCTATATGTAGTTTCTATTTTCCTTTTTGTTCATTAATGCACGTAATTATAAACTTGAAGAAAGAATTGAGTAACAGTTTTAACTAAATAACAGAATTGTTAAATGCTTCATTTTTCCAAATTCAATTTGTATGTGTTTCAGAAACATCAAATTTCGCTTGTGAAGATGATGGGTGGAACGATTTCTAAAGCTTTCACAAAAAAAGTCACCCATCTAGTTGCTGATTCTCAGGATACAAAATCTAAAAAATTTGTTGTTGGTTCATTATATTTTTCGACTCTAATTTGTTATTTTAGAAGACCAGAAATAAAAAAGAGTGTTTTTATCGTTTAGTTTCTTTCTTCGATAATTGGGTTGATTATAGACACAACCAAGTGGCAAACTAATCCCAAATATGCATTATCTTGAAGCAAAAAATTTTATGATATATTAAAATATTTTTTAGACTGCTGTAGATTATGCAGTTCCAGTGCTGTCGGTCAGCTGGATATTTACTGCATGGAAAAGTGCGAAAGCATTTAATGAAAGGAAATACACTGATGAACAATTTATCGGAGAACACAAACTCCAAATTTTCGCTAAATGTGTAAGTCCAATGTTTTTAGCTGTCGCTGGGTGATTTTATTTTATTTTGAATACAAATTCAAATACAATAATGCTTAATTATCAGTGTCAGCATAAAGTGAAAATGCAGTATAGCGCAAATACTTGAATGATATCCGATTATAATATCTGATTTACAAAAAATTGAACATATTGGACATAATCAATTTCAGGTCATAAGCTGCTCAGGTTTGGCTCCTCAAGATCGTTCAACTCTTTCACATCTTATTGGAAAAAATGGTGGTGTCTATACAGGAAATATGAAAAGAAATCATTGCACTCATTTAGTGACTGACTTAAATTCGGGTGAGAAATATAAGATTGCTCGAAAATGGGGTTGGAATCAGATCAAGATTGTTCGTTTGCGATGGATTACAAAAAGTTTGGAGAAGGTATGGTCTTGAGGAAATTGGGAAACACCAGAATTCTTTTTTCGTCTTCACATCTTTTATTGGAATTCGTTAAGGTTGTTACCAATGGCAGCCACCATTCCTATTATTTTTTAGAACAAATTTAGGGATATCGTCTTCCTGAAAGGCTCTATGAAACCAGGATCAATTCCGCAATTGAATGTAGTACTCCACGAACTTCACAATTTACGCAGTTTCAACCATTTACAAATCTAGAAATTAGTGTCATTCGTTGCTCAGCTGATCAGAAGGAAACAATGGGTAAACGCTTAGTTTTTCTATCAAGCTTCTTTTTAGTGAGAAACAATGCCATTATGAAATAACAACTATAGAAAATTTCGTTGTAATTTGGGCAGTGTTATCAGTAACATAACTCAATTGTTTTGTGAAGAAAAAAAGTTTCTCCGAGTTAATTCTAGTTTTATCTTACTCTCCATAGAACGAACTATCCTGTATATGTCATTATCATATGACTTGGTTTGGCGAGCGAGAGTTTGAGTACCATATCTATGTTTGCTGCAAATGCTTTGACAGGTGTGGTATAAGCCAGTGAATTTTTTATATGTGAGACACAGTGTATGCTGAACTAGCTCACCTTGTACTCCTAAAATTCATAGTCTTGGATAGCAACTGTTTAGTTAGAATGTCCTCTGTCTCTCTTTACAAGACTTTGTCTACGAGCTATATTTGCCCAAATTTGGAGTTAGAGTTGCTGTCCTTATCCTAGGATCGTTGTCTGAAAACTAGTGAGCCTCTCCTGCTGTGCTTTATCTGATGCTTCGATTAAGATCTGTCTATATGCAAACGTATGATCCTTTTCTGCAAACAAGCAATTCTAAAAATAGTTTGAGATATCATTATGGTTTCATTTAATGGGATGAGAGACAAAAAACTTCACATTTAAAGAGATGATAAGAGATTAAAGAGATTGTAGATTTATCGAAAGATAATGGACTACCGTCAAACGCTATTTCAGATATGCATTTAGCGAAAAGTGAAAATAGCGAGACGGAATTAAGTAAACCAATTGTCACCGAAAGGTTCTTTTCTGTTATTTGCAAGCAATTTTATCTTTATAAAGAGATGAAGATGATAAATAAAAAATAATTATTCGCAACAACTCGGATTATTTTAAGAAAGGCTGCCTTCAGATAGTCACTAATTGACTTGATATTTATTATCCCAAAATCTTTTTCAGAAAGCTCAAATCCAGTTGTAAGAGTTTTATATTGATAAGCGCGTTGCCTTGAATAGCCAAAAGATTCTTATTGGTTAATATATGAAATGTTTCAAATTTATTTGCTTCCTCTAATTTTATAATTTTTATAGTAATTTGTTAAAAGTAAAGCCATCACAACGAACGACGACGGAAGTCGATCCTATTGTTTTCTTCGACTTAGATGCTCTTCGGTTTAATGATTTCATGAGTGTAGGCTATCTTTGCATTTCTTCTTTGTGAAAGTCATTTTTGAATTTCTTAGTCTTTTTTCATATAAAATATTTGTTTTTCTGCAAAGTGGAGCATTTCAGCAGGGCTTTTCGGAATTCTTAAAAATATTTGAGAAATTTTAAATAACGTCAGTTTTTAATGAACTTTCCTCATTGCTATTTCTTTATTTTTTGAATGGTATAATCAACTTCTATTTAAGAATTGTATCATCTATTTGTGTGGAATAGAAGATGAAAATTTTAAAAAATACAAACGCCTTACCAATAAAGTTGGATCAGGTCGGCGTGACAGACTTCTGTATAATGATACAACTCATGTAGTGGTTGGTCCACAAAGACTGGACTGGAAGCTGATTAAAGAGGTCTTTTTTAGCTTTCAAGCACTTACAAATGCAGTTTATTAGATACTAGCAATGTTTGTAGTATCGAAAATTTTTACTGCGAAATCAAATGTATTATTATGAAACTTCTAGTAGGGTCATGGTAATCATTTCATAATGTGTCTGATAAACCTAGATCATTCGAAACAACATTCAGTTGGTGAAAATAGGGACATGCTTACATCTAATATCTGTGACCTTTCCAATGAAAGCCATTAATACCATATCTTTTGTCAGTGAGCTATAAATATGTTACTTTTAGTGAAAATATATTTCATAAAAAGTTTTGTTCTATATATTTTTATTTATATAAAAAATTTTCCATATATTCATAAAATTTTTATTTACAGCTCAAGGAAAAAGCACGTAGTAATGTTAAAGTAGTTACGTCTGAATGGTTGTTGGATTGTGCCAAAGCGCAAATGGTTTTGGATGAATCAAACTATTTGATTTTCAAACAAGAAAAGAGCAATTTTGAACTCTTGCAACGTAGATTCGGCGTTACGACTGTGAAAGAAGTTGGTTGTAGCGAGGAACCGAGAATGAAAACCATATTGAAAATTACTGAAGTATTTTTAGATCTTATTTAAGGATTGTAAGACTATTGATTTAGAGTTTTTTCTATTAGCTTATTTTTTTACTGCTCAGCTCTTGTCTAACTTTGAAACACGTAAAAGTATGAACATTTCTAGGTGAGGTCATTCATTAAGAATTAGTCTTTTTTTTTTTTTTTTCACGATTCAACTCAGCTTCATTCATTTCATTTATTTAGAAAAAACAATGCTTTAATTTTCATTTGCAACCGCAATGTCATAGATTTCAACGCTGATCATTATTTCAGATAGGAACTAAACTGCTAGATGAAGCAGCTAGTATGTTAAGGAATACCGAGCTGGATTCTGCAGAGGAAAATATTGAGGGAAAATCAGTAAACAATGATGATGAAGATGACAATGATGATCATCAATTGTTCACTGGGTTGTCATTTCGCATCGTTGTTAAAAACGAAAAAGTTCGAGAAAAACTATTTTTTGATATCGAAAATCACGGGGGTGATTTTTTTGTTATCTTCAATAGTTTAGCAGCTAAAATTTTATACTCAGTTTTGTTGCTATAAGTAACCGTTCATTAATGAATAAATAGAATACTGTATGAGGACAGTCATCCAAAAAAGTTTTAGTCCCACTAAGATTTCGAACATTTAAAAATCATTGTAGCTAATGATTTCTAGGTAAGGTAGAACAAAAAACAGAAATTTGGGTTGATTATGTAGTATGTGAAGTGTTCAATTTTCTTCTCAATGACAGTGCAACAAATTTCAATTGTGATAGTATTGTTTCGTCGTTTTGGCTGGTGCGTAGGTTTCAATTTTAATTAAAAATATAAGAAGCTGTTGTCTTTGTTTCTTTTTTAGTCTTAGGATTACATTGTAACATGTGCTAAGATTTAGTATGAAGAAATATGTAAAACTTGCCTTTCTCTTAAAAATGAAATGAAGTTGATACAAAAATAAAGATTAAACTTGTATTTAAGAACGATTGCACTTTACAATTTTTGGATCTTTGTTAATTTCTCTTGTGCATGTGCACAATACAAGTTTAAATGTAATCAACAAAAATATCGGAACAAAAGATTTTTAGGTTTAACTTTTGTCTTCAAATGATCTTTTGTGGTATTTGCAAAGAAAAAAAAAAGGTATTCATTGGGCTATGTTAAGTGCAGAAGTGATGATTATAATATCGAGAATACTTCTCATCGGTTTCAGTTTGTTTCGCTTCATCTTTATTTTTCGAATTATAGCAAGAATGTGTTGAAAATGGTGTAATAATGAATGCTGAAAAACATCCACTTTATCGACCCATCGAAATGTTCGAAACTTCTCAGATTTTCGATGGACACGTTGTTGGTTTGAGTAGGTTATCTGAATCTGAGAAGGATATTTTCACTGATATTCTATACAAGTTCGGGGCGGAGTAAGTTTCTTTTGATTCCAAACTTTCATATAGTTATGAACTTGAATAGATTGTTACTACCAATCAGTGCAGATGTTATTCAGCGTGATTTTATTGCACTCAGAGTTTGACATGTTTTAGTTTTTCATAATTCACTTGCCATTTATTACGATGTTCTGTTTAGTGTATTTATTGTCTAGCTTGTACAGCACATCATTTTCTCTGTAAATGACAAACATCGAATTTGTGATTCAAAATTATCGTTTTCTTTTATTTTGAGATGTTTTTCAGCGTGAGAAATCACTCGGGACAAATCCAACAGTTAAATGTGTGTACAGAAATAATAACAGGTGCTGAAACCGATTGCACTAACTCTGCACGTCGTTGGCAAATACCTGTTCTGGATCCATCTTGGATTATTGAATCTATAGTACAGGTAGTGAATTTCTGTTATGGTACTTTAAATGAAAAATTTCAACTATTTGAAACATTCAGTGGTAATGTTGGCGGAATTGTAATTTTTTGATTGTAGAATCAACTGCAACCAGTGCAGATACATTTATTCCACGACCAACCTTACAAGAATTATATGCGGAAGGATCGATTATGGATGCATACTAAGCAACAAAAACCAAGCAACGATAGATTATGTGTGCTAGATAGAATGAGCAATAATGAGCTGCTTTTCATTCGGGAAACTTTAAACAAAAACGAAAAGGCGACAAATCCACAATATTGTGGGGTGAATGTATTTCAGTCCAATTCAGTCCAGAATGCGGAAATTACGGGAAAATCTGAAGATCGATTGTTAAAAATATTAAATCAGAATACGTTTGATGAAGCAAATGTTGGTGATACTGATTTATCTTTGTGCTGCATGAGTAACGTTATCTAGTTTACGAAAATCTCCGCTGAATGGAGAAATTTTTTTTTTTTTTGAGAATAAAAACTGAGCAGTTGAAGTTAGCAAAAATCATTTCAACCGAAATTATAAGCGAAATTATGAGAAGCTATTATTTTAATATATTTGATTTTTGGTGAAAAAATGCAGCAATTTTTCTAGCAGTATGGCAAGAAAAATTCACAGGGACAAACAAGTAACAATTTGGCTGCGGTTTTAGATCTTACCGAAGCATTTAGTTATGTTAATGAAATAAATACGCAGAACACATTGTGTACTTCACCAGATAGAGAAACATGGGTAGGTCCCTCAACGTGCAGAATTTTGGTATTTTATTTGATCTTAATATAATTAACATGGTTTGTTTTGTTTGATCTAAGTTGATAAAAGCAAATAGGAAAGCAGAGAAAAATCATTATTCAGCTCTAAAGATTGTGAATAATTCAACTTAAAATTAATCAGCAAAAAAAATTTTTTTTCAATTAGAAGAATTAGATAGTTGTAAACTGATTGCTTTGGTTGTTCATTTATGCTTTCAAAAGTGAGCAGTTTGTGTGAAGTTAACAATTGCAGAATGATACAGCAGTGGACCGTGCGATTGATGAAGCACTGGTTAAAACCGCTCATGCAAACAATACCCCGTGGGCATCATCGATTAGGCGAGCTAATGATTATAATCGCATGCAGGTAAACTTCATGGGTTGCTTTATTACTATAATAATTGTAATAATTGATATATGCAAGACATGAAATGCTCCTCTGCAATTTTTCCGAGAATTCTAGATATTGAGGCGGGATAATAATAGGTCAAAGTCGTTGAGGGTGTGTACATAGCTGGTGATGCTTGTAATTTGTCCAAACTTTTTTTTTTTGATTCTGCATGACAATCTTTTCTTCCAAAAAATCTCAAATTCAATTAAATCTTTAAGTTAATTTCCTAAAAGTAATCTTATAACTTTGTAGATCAGGCTAAATAAGAGAAATGCTCAATCATTCTCACCGATTGAACCTATGGAAAGTCCTAAAAAGGCTAGAACAACAATTTTTGAAAATTGCCAACCAGTTATTTCGAAAGACGAGAAAAAGTTTGTAAAAATTTATATTTAATATGACTTTTTAAATCGGTGCGCTCTTCAAGTTGAAATCTTCAAAATATAGTTTGGATTGGACAATATTTTTAGGAGAAGAATAGCTGAAAAGTTGGCTAAACTGGCTGTACAAAGAGAGCAATATATGCGATTTATAGAGGCCGAGAAAAAAAAACAGCTCGTATGTTGATTTTATTTGTTCTAGAAAATAAAGTTAGTACTAGTCGAAGCACTACTGAACTTCGATTATCTTTTTTAGGAGCAAGAGGAGAAAGCAAAAGTACATATGGATTCAGTAAAACGATGTACTAAAAAAAGATGTGTTGAACTACCCGAGCCCGAATACTACGGATGGAGAGAAAGCAGCCCACGTCCGTACGCGCTTTTCTATTAGTACTTTTGGTGCTTTTGTTTTATCTTATCTATCAGAAAATTTTGCAGTGTTTCAAAATGTGTTCATACATATTTTGTGAAATGAGGTTTAGCATTTCAAATCATTTCTCTCACACTGTAATGGGTATCACTGACGGTAAATTGTAACTTGTTTGTGATCTCCACAATTACGATATGCTTTTTAGCATTGCTACACAGATACTCAACCCTTTCGATACTGATCTAGTAAGTTTTTTGCAAATTAAAAGTAATTTCTTTAAATCTAAGGTGTCATTTTTTTTCAAATTTTTATTTTTTGATAGCATTTTGTATTCTTTTGTTTTTGCTATCTTTTGATTAATGCATAGGTGATGACTTAACAACTTAAAAATATTAAGTAACGAAAAAGTTGATAGTACCAAAAACAGGAGCCAAATTCTTCAGTGAACTTCTTCAGATTCTTTAAGCAACAGAATTTGTTTTTTATTTTCAGGAAGAGAACGATGGAGAAGCACCTGTGCTGTCTAAAAGAGAAGAGCAGAATCAAGGAAATAAAACAGGGTAATTTGATTGATCATGAGTGATATTTATGTTTTATTTCTTTTTTTTCATCAATTGCTACTAAGATTTTAATGGATCAGTATTGAAAAAAGTTATAAAAATGTTGAAAAGGATTATTTTTGATCTGATTTTTATAATTTTTAAATCGGAAAGATGCATTATTGGTTCTTTTTTTTTATGCAGAAGGACTAATCTAGCATTTAATTTGCAGTGGTCCTTGAAAAATGTGATATCTGTCATTAAATTTCGATTTGACTCTTTTTTGAATATGTATTTGGATTTAAGCATAGTGGAGCTAGGTGGAAACGCTGCTGTAATTAAAACAATTGTCATAACCAATAAAACAATATGTTTTACTTCAACTACACGATATGTAGGTCTCATTGAATAAATCCAACATTTTATTATTATTTTTTCGTAATAGCGCTAGCAACGTAAACTAGAAGTTATAAAAATGTATGTAGTGTACAAATAAGTTCTCTTTAGGGAGTTCAGTTGCAGTTTGAACAGGAGCTTATATTCATACGTTGTTTTAGTTCTGGAAAAATCAGATCCATCATTTATCTTTTGTAGGACAGAGATGCCTTGGTGACCATGGTTCTGGAATTAGGTGGAGCAGTATGCAATGAATTCGGTGAAAAGGTAACCCATTTAGTTTGCGGTCGGATAGTGCGCAATGAAAAATTGCTTTGTTCAATTGCCAAGGGACTCTTAATTGTCGACGAGGATTATGTTATCGATTCTCATGCACAGTCAAAGTGGCTTGAGGTTAGTACTTATTAATTATTCCTTTCAACGTGGTAAGTAGTATCGATTATTCGATAAAGGATAACACTTATTGAATTGCTTTGCCTCATTAAATTTCAGCACAATGTGTTGTCAAAGGTAATGAAAAGTTGATTTTATACTGAACAGCGAATAAGAGTGTAATAATGAGAAAGCTAACAAAGCAGTTACCACTGAGAAAAGTAGAGGTCATGTGTGTCTCCTAGTGTTCCTCATCTTTTGCTTCTAGGTCCATCACTTTCTTTTTTTCCCACTACATTAATTTTGTATTTTTTTGTAATATCTTTCTTGACTCTTTGGTGATATCATCCGCTAGAAAAACTTTTATTATAATAAAGCCAAACTGCTATCTGGTCCGTTTGAGTTGAAGGACTGCGAAGTTGCTTGGTCTTGAGAACTGGTGGAATATTTTTTAATTAATGAAACTAGAAAACACTTTTTATGATGAAATGTTAAATAGTTATAAACTTGACAGTGCTTCGAAGAGTCTTGAGAACAGGAAATTACTCTTATTTTTATACACATTTTCCTAGGCCGGTAATTACGAATGGGGAAGTGCCCACTCAGTGACCAAACACGGCCTCCTTTCATCACAGCGTTTTCTTTCTTTTGCATTGGCATGCCCTCGATGGCGACAGAAGATCGAAAAGGTTCCTCAAATTTGTTTCACAAATATCAAAATCATTAGAAATGTCCAAATATAGTAGAACCAGTGTCATGCGTTTGACAAGATTCTGCTGAAGTGCTCGTAAGGAGCTTTCGTTTTCTATTACTATCAGTTTTTTCCATATTTTACTAGGACAGAAGTCTTGTGACCTTAAGGCAACAAAAAAAGCTAATGGATTATCAGAATGAATTGATGCAGTATTACTGAATTGTAGAATTCGGCTGAAAGAGCCTTCCACAATTGGAAAGCATTACTTTACTGCGGTCGTCGTCGATTTGCCGATCTTAAGCGTATCATTCGTTTCGGTGGTGGAGAAGCGTATTTAAGGTACACATTTGTTTTGATCTATCTTTGTTTCGGTTTTAGGAAAATTTTTCAGAAAATATGGTGCTTAAATTTTAGAGATGATATCTGCTCACTGGAAGGATTCACTGTTGCGCTTGTAGAAAAGTCAAGATTTTGGAATTCTCAGGTCAGCTCGGATTCATTTTGATTTTCAGTATAGAGTTTTTTCAGGTCGTGGATAGTAGAAAAATTTCAGAACACGAGAAATTTGCTTCGCACATATTGAACATCTTAAAATAATGAAATTCAGCAATGTTTAGGTTCTTGTCATCTCCAAAAAATGGACGGTGATGTGACAGCTTTTCAGGAAGTGGTGGAGCTTATCAAGAACAATATACAGTGTTTCGACATAGACTTTCTCGCTACATACTTAACACTAGAAAAAGAATATGAAGTTGAAAAACACTTCCACAAAGATTATGTGGTTGAATTAAACCGCATATCACGATGCAAGCATTCACTGTGATTGGCTTGAATATTTTTAGCATAAAAGGATTTCTCGCTTCAAATAATTATGCCGAAAACACGATTTATACATCGCCGTGGTTCGATCCAAATGTTCATAATATTTGGTATTACTTAGAAGTCTTTCACTGTTCCATGCCTTGTACATTGGATATATTCTTCTTATATATATATATATATATATATATATATATATATATATATAAAAAACAAATCCTCATGTTTTTGTTCTGGTCGTAACTTTCCTCATAAAACAAAAATTTATATCTCTACTATATTCTATTTTTAGTATTTTACTAATAAAATCCCTTCACATTCCTAAACATGAAATGAAATGATTCACATATATGTCATAAGAACAGCTTAAAGGTGCTACAGTTTGAAATTAACTAATAAAACGCTGCTTTTATATTTTATGCATTTTTTGCCTTTACATTTTATGCAAAAAAGAAAGTGAAAGTTTAATATAACTAAATAGTATGATTGTGCCACTCCACAAAATTTTGAAAATGTTTGGAACTTCTTATGTGATAGTCATATTCATGTGAGAAAAATTTATTCAACTTAAAAACAAACGAAATTAATGGGACTGATAAATCTAATTTAGAATGTATCAATATAGCAAAAAGTTTAATTTAAAGTGTATCAGTACTGTAATTCTTCCGAAACAAGCAAGGAATTTGAAGTCATTTATTTTCAAGATGTAATTTGGAAAGAGAAAGATAAGCCACAGCGGCAAAATCATTTACAGAATGTTCCACAATTTTTGTTTCGTCTACAACAATCCGCTTCGTAAAAAATGGGCAATTCACAACGAACGTCTCATATTCACCTCCCTCGCCACATATATGAACACCGTATCGGCTACTGAGATCCAGCAGAAGGTTTTTCATCTCAAAAAATAAAATCCCAAATTACAGATTCAGCACATGAATGTTCATATATCATTACGACTATGCACTAGCTCTCTCTGAAAAGATATACCTCGCGTAAAGATTTCCCAAGATGCCTTGTCGATAGACCCAGTGCAGCCACTTTAACAATAATTGCTTCAATCCCAGACGAAATGATTTCATCGAACAGAACTGCTTGATCTGCGTTCCACAAGTAAGTTAATGGCTCCAAATTCAATCTTCTGCATACATTTTGAATACGATTTTTCTGGTAGCTACTTAGGATAGCACCGCTCGAAACAGCTGTAAAACTTCAGAGACCTATAAACTTATGAGCAAAGTTAACTGCAAATCAAACGTGACAATACAAAATTTAAGTTGGAACAATATTCTGCTAGCAAATGACGAATGGAAAACACTTCTGATGGTTAGAAGTCGATAACAATAAAACGTAAGAGCTGACGGCAGGCTTGATTAAATCAGAAACTTTTGAATAAGTGGAGAAGGAAATGCAATTATTAGTGAATACGACGATAATATTTCAAGGCAAATCTTCGGAAAGGAGGAACTCTGAAGGCATTTCGGGAAGTTATACAAATTTACTAAGTCAGTAACAATGCACTCAGTATCTGACCACATTCCTGAGCAAACAGTTTTATGTGAAGAGCACTCTAAAACTCAAAACGGCCAGTTCACTGAATTTTTAAAAACTCCGATTCGTCAGTCTTTCTTTCAAAAAAAAAAAAAAAGAAGATCTACTAAGATAAGCGAATATACCCTCAATATCAGGATGTTTTTGCTTAATGAACGCAAGCAACTCATATAGATCCTCCACTTCATCATTATTTTCCTCTTCATAAAAAATACCCGTTTTTATCGGTCTTCCTCGTATTTCGCGTCGATAAAGCGGAAGGCCACATGCCTCACTGTACAGCTGAAGTACCGTAAAACTAAAACAAAAACTACCCATTCAACCCTCAGTATAATTAGACAAAACGGAAAAAAAAAACTGAACATACTCACCAAGTCCAACTAGCTTTATGACCTACGATCAATATTAATTGCTGTTAGAAACTCGTACGTGTTTAAATCAGATGATCAACTTGCATATTCCATAGAGGCATAGAAAGAACCACTGCGTTACACAAATGTCTGCTAATTACACAAATGTCGTATAAGATCCAACACTATTGCTTGATTAAAAAGAATGGAAAAGAAATATGGGTAAGAATTTACCTGAACTCCCTTGTGGGCAACACACTGATACATGTAACTATCCATCTCCTCCTCATCATCGCTCGGTGGATGCAGATTAGCAAGGCATGTAATATCGTGTCCATTCCTCATACACACCATCAAGCTGTAACAACTATCCTTCCCTCCCGATACTAACCCAACCACCTTCATCGACTACCTCAGCGTAATATCATTCAAATTACATTTCTACTCAAACAAACTTGTAAATGGCGGCCACTCGACAATTCGTGAAAGACTGTTTCTTGCTCTGCCAAAGTTTTTAGGTTCTTTTAGGCAATTGTCAGTTGTAGTTAGATACGAGGAATGGATGAGTGTTTTTATGATGTGTAACGTAAAGGGAGTACGGCGCTTCAGTGTAGTTTTTACTTTGATTTTCTCCTTTTTTGTCTTAGCTGGAGTTATCATTCTCGTCCCCGTCTATAGATTATTTGCCCAAAATTCAACATTTATTAAAAGATTTAATTGACATTGCACCTTACAGTTTTGTGATGATAACCTTTAACTGATGAGTTACATAGGACGATTACATGCGTCTCTCTTTCGAAAAGCCCACATTCAACCATTTTTACGTGCGATTGTTATTGCACTAGAAATTCATTAGTTGAATATATCGAGAGATGTAAACAAGAGTAGACATCTGTGTTTGCTCCTGAGGGATGATTTTAGATCTCATGATTTTAGATGAAAATCATGTCATCGATAATTTTCTTTGAACATAAGATTATGTTGTGATTCTCTTATTTATCATTTCTTACCGTATCACTTATGTCATTTCTGTTCACTGTGTGCAATTCTTAGCATTTTTACAGGTTTCACTTTTGTTTTTCAACATTTTTGCAGGTTTCACTTTTGTTTTTCAACATTTTTGCAGGTTTCACTTTTGTTTTTCAACATTTTTGCAGGTTTCACTTTTGTGTGTGTTTTTTTTTTTTTTTGAATATTTACTAGCGCAAATTATGGCTATTCGTTGTCAGTTCGAAGCAAGTAATGAAGTCGGTGTTTTTTGCAAGCTAACTAACAGTTATTGTTTGGTTGGAATTGCTGCATCAGAAAGTTTTTACAGGTTAAATAATTGCTTGTTCTCGATTAGTCGACACTTTTGTTTTTTAGCTTATTGCGCCTTAGCTTTTTTTACTCCTTCTGACAATGTTATATGTATATTTATGAGCAATTTATGTCTTTGGTGTGGTTTTACTTTTAATATTCATCTGGACGCAGTTTTTGGAGGATTTTTTCGATATTTTCTTACGGACAAGTAATATTGTAGCTTAAGGTTGAGGACAATATATTAAAGACGATGATGATTTCTCGTGTTGCAGACTGAATAAGTTCCATTTTTTTAATAATCACTTATCAAAGCAAATCGGTTATTCAGCTACATACTTTGACTTTTAAGGACGGAATTCTTTCAGTGTGGTGGAAGGTGAGCTGGCTGATATAATCCCAGTGATTCATTGCTCCATTGCTGGAACTCGAATTGTTGGACGGATAACAGTTGGTAACAGAAAAGGATTGTTGGTGCCGAACGATACAACTGATCAAGAATTGCAACATCTCAGGAACAGGTTAATATTTTCATCAGAAAGCTTACAAAAGTTTATAAAATATCACTGTTTGCAGTTTACCCGACACTGTGAATATAAGAAGAATAGATGAAAAACTATCTGCGCTGGGAAATGTGATTGCGTGTAATGATTATGTTGCACTGGTACATCCTGAAATCAGTAAGGAAACTGAAAAGGTACCACTGCTTTCTAAACTTGTGTTTTAAATTCCTAAATTGCCTTCCTAAATTTCTAAGAACTTCCTTAAAAAAATTTTAAAAAAACTTAAAAAATGAAATTCAAGCCTATGTATTCTTTCTGGCATTATCAAGCTGCAATGATGGGGTATGGTACTGCATATTGTGGTTTAACTGTAACCTTTTTTATTATATATATTTTTATATATAGCCTTTTTTTATTGTAAAGTTCTTTTTTTTTTTTTTTTTAAAGGTATGTTTCTGGAAAAAGTAAAAGAAATAAAGCTGATATTTTGAAAATTGTTTCCATTACATATACTTGGTATTTCTTGATCTTGTATCTTTTTCAGTCGTTCGTGTTCTGGCTTTTGCTGTACTCTATCGCCTTTAACTTCTTTACAATTTCAGGCTCTGGAGGAAGTCTTACAGGTGGAAGTTTTTAGAATGAGTTTGGGCAGCCATGCTTTAGTAAGTTACTCATCAGCGAATGATTTTGTATTTATATAATCGGAAAATTTTTGTTACAGACTTTTGCAATATCAACTTTCTGTTATCCTCATAATTTATAGTTTCCATATCTTTGTGTCATTTCCAGGTTGGTTCATATGCTGTTCTTAGCTCCCAAGGTGCTCTTGTTGAAGCAAAAACTTCTCCTCAAACACAGCGTGAGTTAGCTGCTTTAATTCAGGTCCCAGTTGTCGCAGGCACCGTCAACAGGTAATTGCTTCTGTTCTTTATGAATCTGGCTTCATTTTTTAAAAATTAATTGTGCTTCTGTAAGTTATGGCATACCACCACTATCTCCTGGTCATTTGATTTCTAACATATTTTTAAATATATTTTTCATGCAGTTTACCCACCCTTAGTATTTTACTTGTATGAGGTAGTTAAAAAGAAAAAAAAAAAAAAAACATCAGCTACAATAGTACAATATAGCAGTACGGTGTTAGTCAATTATAAAAACAATAGTTTCAATCCTGCATGATTGAGACATCTTGTTCCTTGTATTTTATGTTGAAGATCCTTTGATGTTTTTTGAATAATCCTTTGATACTTGTGCATATAATGGAGAAGGTTAGCAATTTGAAATCTTATATAAATTATTCTTCTGGAAAAAATGTTAATTGCTGTATGTGGGGAAGAAATTACACGCGACCTCTTCTAACACAAAATCTGGGTCCCCAAACCGTTCACACTTTCTCAACTATAGTGAGTGTTAGCCTTTTTAAATCATGAGTGATAAGTTTGATTGTCGGACAGATTATATTCATTTTCTCTGCAGGGGTTCGGACCTAGTTGCTGCTGGCTTATGTGTTAACGATTGGATCGCTTTTGCCGGTCTCGACACGACAAGTACAGAATTATCAGTAATTGAATCTTTATTTAAACTTGGTGATCGTGAGGCATCAGCTATAACCAGTGACATGCGGGATGCTCTGATTGATAGTACCATGTAATGGAAGATATATATCTACGAGGAATAGAATGTGATTTCTCCAGAACAAATATGCCCACCAGGATTAAAATTCCTATATGTTCTCTAAATCTTCTTTATTCTTGTACACTACGAAAACATTTCCATGTCTTCTTGATTTTTCTGTCTCTCTGTGCTTTTCCCACAGCATTATATTTCATAGCAGACTTTTTTCAATTTCATTCCTTTTAGTGATCAAAATTGTTAATAGCGAAGTAATGTAAAATTAAAAATTCTTGTAAATTGATGTGTATATTCCGGCTAACATAGGAAGGCGAATCAGAATCTTGAGAAAGGGAGAAAAAATATTTTTTTTAAAATTCCGATCCTGTTTTTCCAGTTAATATAGTGGCTGTGAAATTAATCTTCTATGCCTGAAACGGCATTTTAGCATTTGAAAAAATTCCACTTAATTTTTAGTCAGTTAAGATAACCAACGAATAAGGATCTCCTAAAAAATGTAAACCTTGCTAAGTATGTAGCACAAACAGAAATCGTAAAGAGAAATAGCGAGTTTTTTCCAAACTTATTTTAAATACATAGGTCAGTTAATGGAAACCGATGCATAAGGTTGAAAAAAGAAACGTGTGCTATATAATTTACGACGGTCTCATGGTAGAAAACAAGTATGAAAGTGATACACAATTGTACTGGTTATCAGCAATATACTGATCACACAACGAGAGTAGTTCAGCGAGCAGAACAGTAGCTTCTTTCCAATCGACTCTACATCGTAATTTCACTGGAAAAGAACATTCGGTGATTTAATTTTGGTGTTCGAAGAAAGCGATGTAGTTTATTCCAGTTCAAAAAATGAAGACTAATGTACAGTTTGGTGTCTAGCCATTCAATTATCTAGAAATTCAGATGTAACGGATTTCGCAATTTGTCTTCATCAAATGTTAAGATTTATGAATATATTTCTCTTAAAAAAACTGTCATTCCGTAAAAGAACCTCGAAATGTAAAAATGAAAGATAATTCTAAATAAGGCAAACTTCTCTGTTCTTCGGTAAAATTATCTATCGCCTTCATCACGTCGAACAATGCGTGATAGAAAACCAGTTGTTGATAAAGCGCTTTTGATGAGTACTGACATGAAAAAGCAGAAATGTAGAAGTAATGTGCATCTGAATTCAAATTTATAAACTTTAACAAAATCGAGAATACTGTTAATATGTGAGAGATTTGTGGAAATTGGAAATAAGCGATAAATGTGCATTTCAGTTTTTGTTATTTGTTTATCGTATATTGAATTCTTACTTCTCTACTCATAAAGCCATTTTTGCATTTCGGACATGGAACACCTTCTCTTGTCCATGCCAAAACTAATGTTCGTGTTCGATATGCACAGCCAATATCATCACATACATATGAAATCTAAAAATAACAGTGTGAAGCTGGAAATATTTCCAGCAATACTTAATAATTCGATGAATGAAACTTGCCTTGTAATAATTAGAAATCACTCTGTCAAGAGTTAGCTGTAACTGGTTATATAAATATGCACCAAAGCATAATAAAGAATTGTGACAAATGGAACACTCACTCAACCACAGCTTCTGTTTATCGTTGTCCTGCAAAGTCATTAGAAATATTGTAATAAGCATAATCACAGAGTAAGTAAAGCATGTCATCAGTACCACTAATCCAAAATTTCCAGTGTAAATTTTTGTGATGATTACAGACTATTAGTTAAAAAACATAAAGAAAACTTACATCTTGTATCACACATTCACGAACAAGGAATTCATGTCCGCAACCATCATTTGGACAGACAAACTTAAACGATTCACAACGCTGAAGACTGTGGTATGAAAAACACAAAAGTTGCTCTTCCCTATCCACATTTTCCTCATGTACAGCATGTTTTTCATATATCATACTATCCAAACCTACGATAAAAACATTACCATAAAATACACTAGTTGATTTACATTATAATATTTCTGCTGCTCTAGCGTGGAAACTATTTTGATTGCTAGCAGATACTCCAAATCAAAAAGATACTAACATTTCCAAATAAAGAGAAGTAAGGAAATATGATGAACATGTAGCTCAAGTTTATAGTTGAATAGTGTTTCAAGACTTGATTTTAAAAAACTCAAATTTTCATTTTCTCTGGTAAACAAACCTAATGCTTGTGCTACCCAAGCTTCATTACACTCTTCGATTGGAACACACAACCTGCTTACAACTGGAATAATCTGCTGCACCAAATAATAATGAAAGTCTAAAAAACGTCTATTCTTTAAAAATGCGCAACATTTATTTCCTTAATAATTACATTATAAAACAGTCCAACTCAACGAATCAACATGTAACTATCCAAAATGGATAGCAGCTGAAGACTTATTTTCTCACCAATTCTGAGGTTATTTTCCTGAACTTCTGTTAAGTGATAAGCACGCTGAGTAGCCGACTGTCCACTACCATCCTAAAACTTAAGCTTGCAAGATAATTTATGATGGACATAGTAAAATTAAGAACATTTGTGTCCCTTATTATGTACAACACAGAAAACAAGTATATCAAGCAGTATTAACTGCAGTTTGTGGTGACCAAGAAAAGTCAAAGTATGTTATGACATTTCAGAGAATAAGTCAATAAAGTATTATTCACCAAGCCAAAACGATAAAGTTCTCAGGTAGGATCGAAACGGTTTCGGTTGAAAGCAAGCTACGAGTTAACTTCCCATCCAAGATGATTTGCGAGGCACATGCTTTAAATAGATTTGAAATCAATTAATTTAACAAATACCTCACAAATTATATAGCCAACCGTATCACCCCGATGAAATTTGAATTTTCCGGTTGCATTGAGTCGTTGAGCAACAACTGCATGAGGCTGAATATTGATATTTGTATATTCGTCGGGGTTCCGAGTTAATTGCTAAAAAAGAATTATCTAGAAGTTGAAGTTCTTGCTTTAAAATTGTAATTAACAAACCTTAAAGATCTGAAACATCGAAATTTCAAGTAGTTCTTGAGATATCTCTTCTTTTAATTTCTGCAAACGACTGTGAATTTGTTCAATAATTTCATCGCGATTTTGTGATTGCACTGATAGGATTATATCTAATATTTCGCTGTAATAACAAGATAAGATGTTCAGAGATTTCGAAAAATTCAAACAAATTATACACAGAAAATTTTTAAATGCGTTACTTTCCAATCTCCTTTACAATGAACGAATAATCGCGGCGAACAATGTCCAGACCCTTAATTTCACGTTTTATTTTTCTTTCATCGTTCAAATCGACTGCTAGACCAGCGTACTTTTTCTTTTTCAGTAACAACAACTTTATAAATATACCATCGATATCAATTTCCAATTTCTTATAAGATTGGTTTATTATTTTTTTGATCTGAAAGCTATGTTAGTAAAGACTGATAAAAATCCGATGAAAAAAAGCATCAGCAGACTACAATCCGAAAGATTCGGCTTATTATTTTGGCTACCATTATTTTGACACAATAAAAAGTTCATCCAACTATTAAACACTAATTTGGATAAAATTATATTGCTTGAATTGATATATGAAAACAAAGGAAAGCAAGTCATAGGAATTCTAAGTCCTAGAAACAAAACAAAAAAAGATTGAATTTGGAAGCAAATATTTACATCGTTCCCCAATTTTTTTACATGCTGCAGTTCGGACCGTTCCGAGAATCCGGTATTAATCATTACCGAATCAGTATCACCATAAATAACAGAATAACCACTCTTTTCGACCAAATCTTTTGTGTGCATAAGAATCTGTAGGACACTTATATTATTTTTAGTAAAAAAAAATTCTAGTAAAGTTAAAAAACTACAGATCCATCCTGCAGCAAATATAGCAGTGCCATACGGAATTTCACTGCACTTAATTACTGTTATTGGCTTTAAGAAAATAAAAAAGTACTTCTCGTCCTTGAGCTGTTATCAGTGCAGCAAGCGGTTTCGCATAAAAACGCGACTGTTGGAAACCGAGACATCCGTACATGCTATTAGCTGTTAGCTTTAATCCCATTTGACGAATATCATACTGAAAATACCTCTGCATAAAATTTCATGCAGGAATCCCTCTTCCACATTGCTACTTAAGGAAATCATTTGAAACATGGAAATGAATAGACCAGTCAATAATAGTAGTCTGTATTAGCAAAACAAAGCCAGTATTTTTTATACAACATTTGTTTAGTCGCTTAAATCAATAATCTATACCAGATTAAAAGGTTGTGTATAATGAAGGAATTAGTGCACTGTGAGTATAATGAACAAATGATGTGAAGAGCATACATCTGACTGAACCAAGACGAAAGCTCAAAAATCTAACTGTATTTATATTTCCTTAATCTCACACTACCTGTTGCATAAACTAACAGGAAACACGATTGAGCTACTATACCTGTTGCCTTTGTTGCTCTGTAAGTTTTTCGGATTTCATCATCCTTTTCACATCACGTCTCCTTTCCACTAAAGATCGAATTTCACGCGGCAATATCCCTTCATTTGCATCAGTCGGTAATTCCGGCATTTCATTTTTGTCCTACATTTTCTTGAGATTACAAACATCAGCCTGTCTTCACGTAGAACCTTGAGCTACCAAGGAGGATTTTATAAAATATTCTCTAGTTATATGGTGCAAGAATATCCTTAAAATCTTAGAATAAATTTCAACAAACCTTTTTGGACATATCAACAGTGGTAAAACAAATGTTATATTCCTGAATGATACTTGGATATAAACTATTGAAATCCAATAGCAATATAAACGTATCATATAAGCCTAAAAAAGAAATCGATTTTACAAATTATACATTCGCTTGAGAACAACTTATGGCAATTTAAAAAACTGGACATATGAAATTTATTAATCTAAAAAACTAACCCATTTTTGGATCCAACACCAAACCACCCGCGTACTGTCCCTTGCGGTTCTGCAGGATTTTATTATAATCTCCCGGATGATTATCTGCACTTCTGGTGTCTCTCAACTGCGATTGCTTCCTTTTCTTAGAATCTGATTGATATTTATTTGGTGCAACATAACCAGCTTTGTTGAATGCATGTAATAATAAATATTCATTTCGTTCTGCTCGTCCACCCAACACTGTCCTTGACTAAAGCAAAAGAATAACGTGGAATTTTAATGAACATCAATTAAATTAATTTAAATGGAAAAAAACAAATGCTAAGTGTTCAACATTAGTTCTTTATCACATAAGGTATATGTTTTCATAAAATTCTTACCAGTACGCCACCCACAATTTTTGTAATTTGAATAAATAACGGCAAAGCGTTGAGCTCAACAATAATAGCAAGAGATAACCAAGCATCCATCCAAGCATTGTTGATAAATCTGATCAACTGTGTTGAATTCCTTAAAACCATTTGTGCAGTCTTTATAACAAATCAGTGCCGATATACAGTGTTATTATAACTGTCATTTAGCGCGATCTAGCTAATCAGCAGTTCGACCAATGTTGGGAAAACGATGGAGAGCATAACGAACATAGTTCGCATTATCAATAATAAAATAATATATTCATTCGTTAAGCTACCAGTCAATGAAGTAACTATGTTCCAAAAGATCAGTTACTCCTCAAAATGAAAGAACTTAGATAATAGATCCGATATTAAAATCCAGAATTAAAAATAGGTCTAAAATACTGAAAGGGTTACGCAAAGTGAGTAGAGATATCTTGTTTCTCTGCAAAATGATGATTTATTCCAAGCAAATCAGACGATAGATCATACAGGTCATAGCTTCGCATTCTCAGTAGCTCCATAGCTGATAATCTGCAAACAGAGAGTTCATTTTAAGATACTTCTGGTCACAAGTTTAACACAACCTATCAGAAAAGAATGTATAATAACTAGCTGCAAGCAATCAGAGTCCAAAAATCAAATTAGAGTCAAGAAATCAGAAGACTTTCTATTCCTAGTATGACATTGTAACAGTGATAGAAATACTACAATAATTGTTCCGGCGTCTTCACTCAAACATTATAGAAAATATCACCTGCTGTCTAGAATAAAACGTCCAGCCGTCAGTTCCCACTGCGAAGTTTTCATATGAGCTGCTTGTCTAGCTTTAACTGAACGCTTCAAACGGCTCAAACGTGACCAGTGAGCAATACCAAGCTTTTCTATACGTGAAGATAATATAGTAAATTGGGTTGCTAAGTCGTGCCCCTAAAAAAGATCAAATTTAACTCTTTACAAGTCAAAAGATTTCTCGATATTAATATTAATCATAAAGAACTTTTTAAACATAATAGTGAGGATATATCGATGTTTCATATAGCTTTTAAATGTAAAACAAAAGAAGATGAAATCAGAGATCCTGAAGAAAAATCCTGAAAAAACTGAAATTCTAATTTCATCAATAAAATTTTAAAAAAATAAGAGAGAAAACTTACCGCATATGCATCAGGATCCAGATTTTGCAATTTACACAAGAAATGATTAAGCATATGACGCTCATTCGTTGTTTCATAAACAACAGTGTCCATTCCCAATTGCTTCAGATTTATTTTAAGGTCAAATGGATAGGCAGAAAAACTTGGTTTTGTAAGAACTGAAAAATAAAATCAAAACTTCTGAAAAGTGCTGTGATTCGCAGATAAGGAAAAATAACAAATTTATAGTGCTTGTTTCAATCTGCAAAACATAAAATAAAGTAAAAAGTGAAGGGTATGGAAGATTTCCTTGGAATATAAATTTCACTGATAGACATGTTAAAAGACATACTGCAGAAACGTTCCAAAAAATTTCTGTTCAAAGTAGGATTTGTAGTTGTGCATTTTCGGTCAAATATACAGGAGATAGAAACAATCTGAAAAGAAATAAGATCCTCACACACTTGAAACTCCAGGGAAAATTTTTTGCCAACCGAACCTCGCTTTCTTTCTTAGAGTTGATTATTGTAACTATGTTCACTGTCAACAAATTTAGGTTCGGTGGTGGATCTGAGCAGTCACTTATGGAAATCGATTTCATTCGTTCCATATCAACCGTAAATTCATGTTTGACATAAGTTACTTGAAGAGAAGAGACATCTGAAAAATTTCACTTTGTTTAATGATTTATAATATTTCTTAAAAATTTGATTAGATTCCAAAATTGAATTGTTGTTCTTCAAAAATAAACAATAAACATCAAGTTTCTGAAATCCTAAAAAACAATGACGGAGAATTAGCTTATTACGAACTACAGCCAGAAATTTCTATCCACGAAGGTCCTTTCATACCGGTTTCAACCAACAATCTTTCCATGGCATTAGCAGTTGTATTAAAAACATGACTGAATGTTTCTCCACTCAGATCCATTGGCAATCGTGGATCATTGAACTAGAAAATCACTACATTTTCTCAGCTTATATTACTTCAGTAAAACTAAGATCTCATTAATTCTTTCTATATGTCAACATAATTATCAAAAACAAAAAAGATACAAAAGATACAGCTGAAATGTAACATCACAAAATAATTTTCTAAATTTATAATGTATAACAAATTCAAAGAAGTTTCGTGAACTTACACTATACTGCACTTCAAGTACTTGAGCATTCTGGGGTACGATTCCATCATTGTACGCAAATTTCTTCTCACATGGCTAAAAAGATTTTAAAACCTCAAATTTATATAAACTCTAAGATGCATCCCAATATTACCACATATTCAGTAGAAACTAACTTAAAAAAAACAAGTTGTTTTTTTATTATTTATATAGTCCAATTCTATGGCCTATTGTTTAGCTCATCTTAATTTTGTATAGAGAAATGTGGCGACTTTCACGCTTATTTGAACATTTTAAAATTAAGAAAACAGCAACGGTTGCATTAACATAACTATTTTCGTTTGCCTTATGAAAAATCTGAAATGTGAATTACAAAATAAAACTAAGAAGACTAACCCTGCATTTGACAACTTTAACACCCATCGACCTGAGTATTTTCTGCACTTCTTCATTAACTTGCATTAAATCCACTTCATCAGTTTGTACTTCGTTTACTAAATGCTAAAACGCAAGAAAAAAAAAAAAAAATCAGAGAAATCTACAAAAAGAGATAAGCTAATTCGCAAATAATTAAAGTAAGTGATTTAAATACGACGTATGAAACTGATACATAAAGCATTCAAAAGGTACAGTTGTGTAAATATTATTGCGAATCAATCATCACTTACTGAGAGCATAGAAAAAATCGTTCTAACCTTCTCACGAGGTAAAAAAAAAACTTGTCGCCATATATTTTTAACAACCACACAGCAGCTTTCGGAAATACTACCGTTGATCAATCGACCAAAAAGATAAACCGTTCCTATAAAGAAAAAAATGTTTAAAGGAACTAAGATATGAGCATTGAGAAAAACTTCATTCAAAATGATAGTGAGAAATTCTACTGATTCACAAATAAACACCGAAGAGCAGGAAAAAAGGCAAAAATAAAAGTAATAAACTGAAAAAAAAAAGTAATTTTTTGGACCTACATATTATTTATACCAAAACTATCTCCACAGAGAACACTGTTTAAGCAGTTCAATAAATGCATATTTTTATTTTTGACTACTGCACTGAAGGAGTTATTGGAAAATATCCGATTATCATGTGCTAACTTACGAAGTAGGAAAACAAACACAGCAGACCTGGCATCTTAATAGGATCTTCGAAAGCGTCAAGCCAGTAAAATCGCAGTACTAGTTCACCTTCTAAATTTGTACGCATAAAAGAACCAAACGTAGCAACAACACTCTCTTTCATAGGTTGCTCATTTAGCATCTGATTCCTGGATTCGCTAAACATCATAATAGATTTAGCACACTTAAAAAAAGTTTAGGGTGGAAGTGTATCATTTGTATCATTATCCCAAGTCTTTCCATCCACGAATAAGTTTGTAATATACCTGTCAGCCCAAATGAAAGATGTTTCTGGCTGTACCACTTCTTTCACGACGCATTTATCGGAATGTTTATTGGTCACAGAATGCACTTCCACAAAAATATCAGATTTTTGCGCATCCAGAAAATGACTTTTCATCACAATTTTATGTTTAGATGATATTTTTCCAGTTCATATCTAATAGTTAAACAGAATTCCAAATTAAATGAAGAATTTTTACTTAATAAAAGTTCGCTTTCCAATCATTTCAACTAAAGGAAACTAAATCAATGGACCAAATGCACCAAACACTAAGAAGATTTTCGAAACTGACAATCAGAAAAACTGCTAGTATAGCACTCAAATGTTCTGAGAATTCTCAGTTTTTGATTTTTGTTGAATTTAGCACTACCTACTGCAATTTACTCTTTGACTTGCTCTTTTGACGATTCTTTGCTAAATACCTTTCTAACTTCTTTTTCAGATATAGATTCCAAATTCGTTGACTTTCCTACATTACTTATCGGAGAGGGAGAATGCGATGCAGTCACATTCAAATGTTCCCTGCGTTCATTGAGTTTTATCATTTGATGAGTTTTGATCGAGTTTGCTGTTATTTTTGAATCAAAACAGTGATTTCTGCAAAATTGGTTTTTTAAGCCCTTCAAAAATCTGGAATAAAAAAATCGGCTACACGAAAACAAAGTGGATAAATAGAAAGCAACATATCAAATCAGAATATCCATCATTCGACGTCTCTTGCCTGAACTAGAGTTGAATTTTAGAGACTGAAAACAATCAAGAGTAAGGGAGTAACAATTACTTTTGATTTCAAAATGATCAAAATATTTGAGGACTGCAAGACCCCAATGTTTAATCTAGAAGACATGAACTGCGTAATTCTCTGATATATGCAAATGCAAACCTAATCAATGAAACATTGTCGGTTTTTGAACCATCCACTTTTTCATTTGCACTTTTCTTCAAAAAGTTTGACGAATCGCATTCATTAAGCAATGCTTCTACATCCGGGTCATCAGTTACAGTTACTGTATTCTGCAATATTAATAAAACTATTGGCACATGGTTTTATATCAGCAGGTTTTACAATCCATTTTATATACTTTTATAAAGTAAAGAAAGGCAACAAGTTGAACCTCTGCTAATAAAAACGAAATTTCCTTTCCTTTTCTCTTTCGAAACTATCTCTCCACTTTATCAGCAATAAAATCGAAAAACAGCACAAAACAAACCTCTTCTTTCATCTTTTTTATGTTTAAAGCATGAAAAAAGTTACCAATCCCCTTCCTTTTCACTTTATCTGAAAGAAATCCATAAGTAATAAACCCGATTCCTCATCATGATTTTAAAGAAATAGAATTTTATAAAAGCAATAATTTCAACAAATACCAATTGCAACGAAAATGTAGCACGTTAATAAGAAAAATAATCTGCTTGCTAGAAGTTATCGGAATTATCTTGAACTTTATCGAGAAATTAAAGATACTTGATAGCTTACCACCTCTTCTTTCCTTTGCTTTCATTGCTTTTCTTGTTGCAGTGCATTGTTCTTCGTCAAAGAAATCGAAACCATGATCAACATAGCCACTACCATCTGAAAAGAGAACTATCAAGAAGTCTTGGATTTCTTAAAGATTTGTTTCAACTAAAAAAAAAAAAGAAACTTTCTCATCATCATAGGTACCATCACGCAAAAGGAAATATAAAAATGAAAAAGATCAAGTACAAATTAAAATTTTTCTTATTTCGTAACACCGAAATTAAAATAAAAAAAGCTTCAATGAAAAAAGGACCATCATCAACAACAAAATCATCCTTCTGCCGTTCTTGCACAATTCTAACATATTCATCCTCATCCACTTCTTCATACACAGGCTTTACCAAATTCGCTACCTAAAATAAGCAATGCATAAAGAAGTAATGATACCTTTAACCTCTGCAGAACTAACTGTTAGGATTGAAAGGAACTGCAGATTCTAGAAACGGAAACATACATTTACTCGATGCACGGTACCAGCATCACGTGCTCGTTTCATTTCTTCCAACGCACGACTTTTTGACTCCTGCTCACGTGATACATGTGACCTATGGCTGCTACGTAGTCCATTACTCGCAGTTGCAGTATACGGATTCCGCACGACTATTTCTTCGTCGGATGATGACATTGCTCCAATTATTGTTTAAAAATAATGTCAACGTCATATTGTCAAGCATCCGAATCTTTTTGTGGAATGGAATGCGCTCAATTCATACACATAATTACCCTCCCCAGCTCATAAATTACGGAAAAACATGCAGCATGCATACATAACCTAGAAAATCCTTCTCAATTATCAAGTTGAAAAATTCAAACTAAAACTCTTCCCACGCTAATAGGGTCTTTGACCACTATGAAAACATGTAATCTCGGCAAAGTAAACTCGGCAATAACTAGTTGGACAGAGTGTCGGTTAATGAAAGGCCGGAAGAATAGGGCGAATTAGAAGAGAGGTCACATGTAAAAGCAAGTTTAGGATTCCTTTCTTACTGCCCTGTTTCCTTGTGAAACAAAGTAGGTTTCCTTTCTTGATGGTTCAAATCGTTGACTTCTTTGTCCATACTGGTAGAATCTCGAATCTGCACTGGTTCCGTTCTGTGTACGTGTACTGTGGGAGTCTTCGTGAAATATTTTATTATTCAAACCTCAAACTTGGGTAATGGAACCACAGATTAATATTAAAAATTATACAACATTACAATAACGAGTTGATACATAACACACAAATATAACTTAATTATAAAACATTTAAGGATATAAGCAAGCTAGACATCTCCCAACCGAGTCATACCAAACCAGGAACTATAATGAATAGCTTTGTAAGGAGGAAAATTGGGAGGGATTTTATGGATGTTAAGGTTACAAAGTGGATTAAAATCACTTAAAACAATAGCCTTTGTTCATTAGGTTCTAGCTTCGCTATTGTGGCGACATCGTATAAGTTCTAGGGTGAATTAATCATTAAAACTATGTCCTTGCGAGGGTTAATTTCATACGAGATTAGCCGTCTGTCAGTTTTCCATAGCATTATAGTCCTCACTTAAAACTCACAGCTGAAATTTTGTCGGATATTCAGCGGTTTGATAAATCATCATAATCAAAATCGACCAATTCGATCTTTTCCTTCATCAGCGCAACAGTGTAGACACAAGGAACAAAGTCTTCCACAATTTTATTCCATATCTTAATTTTATAATATCCCTGTTTCTCGACAAATCTCAAACTCAGTCTTTCACAAAACGATAGCCAATAAAATTTCATAGCGCTTCAAAAACAAACATATGACTCATTTCGAAAAATCAGTATAAGTGTTTCAAGAAAATATAAATGTTCACAAGAAACAAAAACCTAGACCATCGGTTTATTTAAAACGAACGATTAACGTTCCCTTCACATGTTAGTCTCTTCTGCTAAGTTTTGCGATTCGTTCTTTTCGTTAAAGAATTTCACCAAAGCTATTTTTAAAGAGTCACTTTCACATCTTGCCGAAAAATCGGGACGCTAGTTAGAACCAATTTTTTGTAACTCTAAAAAACATTAAATTTATATACTGCCGGATGAAAATTAAGATAGCAAGAAAAGGATTAAAAGATTTTAAAAGATTTTGGAAAGATTCTGAATACGATGTCCTTAAAGCAGAAGTGATGACAATCATACGTATATAACAATGAATTAAAATCCACATTTAAGGTAGTTTATAGGTCAAAGAATTTGCCGTTAAATACGATAACTGTTTCATATTTTCTAGACTTCATGTGATCGGTAATTTCCCTATTTCAATTATTTTTATTTCTGTGAATTAGATTTGTAAGTAACTTTGGAATATACAATCATCAAATGCTAATCTACTGAACAAAATGGAAGGGTAGACCATTAACACCAACAAGAATTTTTTATTCAAGGATAACATTACCCATATCGATACCTGAAAATAGTAAATTTAGAAAAGTCATAACGTCTTTCTTCTCTCATTAATCTGCCATACAAACCATAACTATGGTGTCATAGGACACTGGACTTGTGGAAGAAATTAATAACTGCCAGGAATTCCAGTCACATTCGGAATACTTAACCTGTATTTGTTCCATCTTTTAGCCTCTTTGCTTTCATTATATTCTGCCTGCTAAGGGATAAAAGTCATAAAGTTATTAAATTAAACTACGATAAGCTGTTAGCACCACATCCAATAAAATATTAAGTTAATCTAAAGTGAAGTTAACGCTTACCAACTGCTTTCATTAATTCGCCATAACTTCTACACTGTGAGAGTTCGGAGTCGAAATAACTAACAAACTTGGAACAATTCTCCAAAATTTTAATTATATTCTCACGCATGTGTTGAGTACGATCACCAGTCCTGCACTAAAACATAAATAAGATGTTAACATCTAAAAAATTCTTTTTTTTTGAAGGCAGTATTTATTTCATCATAGGTGAAATATTCCTGCTGCAACAAATCCAAGACAACAAAATTCAGGATTTATAGTCTAATAGATTATTCGTTTCTCTGAAGCTTTATTCCACGAAATTTGATACAAAACTACCTGAAGAATTTTATTGTGATAATAATCAACGGCAACCCAGACAAGCAATTCATGTCTCGCATCTTTCCAAGACTTCTTAGATCCTTGCAAACTTTTTAACAAATCCAATCTTTTATCATTCCACTGCTCTGCAGTATCCATTACCAAACTGATACTGATCTCATGGGTGAATGAATGAGCTTCAGCAGGTTCGGAGGATGGTGATACTTTTTTCAAATACTGCACTAGAAGAATTAAAATAGCCATATACTGCATGTTTGATTCACGACCACCACCATGAGAAAGTGCCGAAAATGAACGGAACTTGACAAAGCGATCCAGCAATTCTGCTATATCTAGTGTGAGGCTATCTAAATTTATCGTATCACAATCAACAGCTACTTCCAGATCAGTTGATAACCTAAAAATGAGTTACTAAAAATTTCGATTTACCAAACATATATTTAGTGCACAAAAAAAAAAAAAAAATGTAACAATGGAAAAACTTTGTAAGTAAAAAAAAATCTGGTAAAAGATGTTCAATGTCTTTCGACACTTCAAGGACTATAAAGGCACTATTCATGGAGGCTCCGAAAATGAAGTTCAGTCGAACTATCCCACAACATTTTTCCCAACTTACGCACTATTTTCTTTATGAGAAATTTGCAGTACACTCAACCTCGATATTCTAGCCCCTACTATTCACACACAAATAATTTTGCTGAATCCCTATTAGCAAACCATTTGATGCCTACAATTTTTAAATTTATCTAAATGATTTGTTTCAAAACACCTTTGGAAGGAGTGTTCCATATCCGAATCTTTTACTTGCTTTGACCAAATAGGCATGATAACATTACATTTCGTATTGGCATTATGTAGCGCTGCACTTGCCCATTCGCTTCGTGAACCGGCCATTCTGTTGAAAAATAAATATTTTCATAGAGATAAATAACAAGAATATCTTACTGAAAAGTTCAATCCTATTACCACATACCAAGAACTAAAAGTTTGAACACCACAAAAATACCTGACAGCTACGGAATGGCAGTCCAGATGAACTAAATTCATCTGCGACACTGTTGTGAACGAATAATTCCGACCATTAATTACTTTGTTCTCTTTTAGATTCAGTCGGCTTGCAAATGCATATACCTAAAAGAAAAAATCAATGGGGCAAAGAAGGTATGAAAATAAAACGGTAAGAAAACAGAAAAATGACTGAATTTGGAAAAAATAAAAACAATGATTCAAGTAAGTTTCCAATACCAGTGCCAATATATGTTAAATCGGGAATAGCTCCTATTCAAATCACAACGTTTTAAAAAACAGATGAATAGAACCTTGTTCTCTTTGTTAGCAATATGTATTGCTAGTAAAAAAGTTAATCATTACATGTTTCTAATGTCTCTCAGAATGATATTCTGTCTAGATGCAAACATATCGTAAATGCAAATACTGAACAAAGACGATAGAAGTGTCTTGGAAATACCTCCGTATAAATTCAAAATCAATATAAATTAATTGTGGAAAAGAATGAATGCAGGGATAAAATAAAAAAGACCAAAGCAAGCTAACCATCATGATTTTTGCACTAGCGTCCATTGCTTCCCGGCATATACAACAAATACTAATGTCTGATACACTTTCTAATGAATGAGGTTCATTGATCAGCTTGCGCGCAGATACCTGGGAGAACCACAATTTTTTTTCAAGTAAGAAATGACAAATGCTGTACAGGAGAATCGACTTGCAGGAATGGCTATGCAATCCTATTTTCTATGAGACAGTTTTTTTTTTTTTTCTTATTTATAAACAATAACGAATGGAAACAAAACACACACTACCAAATTGGTTTTAAAACCATTAGTGGGTTCAAATACTTATTTTAGGATCTGTCAACAACGCTAGAAAGAAATCGAGTGTGTGAAAAGAAAACGTAGTATGAAAACATATTAACCTATATTAAAATACACAGAGTAACCTACCTTCACTTGTCCTTTTTTGCCGATTTCCATACCCATTTTCGAAAGCTGTTTTTGCCTCATCGCCATAGCTAACTGACGTTTCTTTATCTTCGTTTCTTGACGAACTTTTTCAATCTTCAATAATAAATCAGCTGTGAAATACAGATAAACTATATTCAATTCCAAAACTAATAAGGAAACGAACAAGAAATCTTCTTGATACTTCAAATTTGATAAATACCTGTACAGCAACTTGATCATTCTTCTTCAGTTCTTCCATTACATTTTCGGCCAATGTTCCAATATGTTCAGCTGATGAAATCTGCTCCAAACGATGCAGTATGGGCAGGGAATTTTCAGCAATTGCTTCCTGAAGAATGACATCACAATCACAAGAAATCCGACTATATGGATGGAACAAAGTTCGATACAGAAGCCTTACACATATATAGCAACTTGTTCTCCCTCAGGTTTTTTTGAGTTATTAGGAAAACAATATGTGATCAATCGTTCCTTCCCTCAAATGTTTTCAAAACCATTTTCATGACAATCTTAGTCCGAAAGAAATAATGTAATGAAACAGCAATGTTTTCGAATCAAAAAAGTTGTTTTTTGGACATACTGCATATAAAATGAAA